CACATCTTTGTAAAGCATTGAGTGCAAATTCTGGATCACAGGCAAATTGTCTAGTACACTGTCTTAAAATCGCTGGACAGCATTATGAAATTAGTCTGAAATTTAAGATTAAGTACTTAAGTAATAAGCACAGTACATTTAGGTTTACTTTCCTGTGGGTTATAGAATGAACTGAAATGACTCGTATTTGTTTTTAAAATGTTTATGATAATTATCTTTTAGTTCTTGCAGTTATATCGTGTGACCAAAAAAACTGACATGCCTTTATGGTTTGTATCTTCAGTCCAAAGTCACACACTGGATGTGGTTAGCCAATGAGACAATAGTAATATGAAGTGGAAGAAATGTTTTTTGAACTGCCAATTTGTGGGTCACTGGCACTTCCTCTTCATAAGCTACTGCTGATTATAATTACACAGCACTGGCTTTTGCTTAAACGGCTTTACAGATTTTCCAAGCCATCACCCCTACCCCTGTCCTTGGACCCCTGATCACAAAGGAGAAAATAAACCCCCAGGACTAGCTCAAAATCCTGTGCACATTATGTTGCCTGGTCAAGATATTATTATAAGTAAGTTTAGAACACCATTTTTTTTCTGTAAATACATGAGAAGTGGAGTGAGACAAAAGCTCATGAATCAAAATGAAGTTTACCAATTAGATTTTTCTGCCCACTACAAAGTTAACAGGGAGCAACTAGATCACTGTCAGAAGAGCTTAATTCTTGGTAAAAAGAAAACCCAGTTGATCTCAAAGACCCGAATCTGTCAGAACTCGACCAAATTGACTTGTCACTTTCACTTTAAAACAACAAAAGAAGAAAGTGCATTTTAAACCTGCCAAATCCAGACTAGACTGAGCACTTGGCATGTGATTAATATAGGCCGTGCTGCTTTCCACGACTCCCTTGAATGCTAATCTTACCACCAACGTACACACACGCCCACAGCTCCCCAGAGAAGTGTGTGTGCTGGATGCTGTTTGATGTGGCCCGCCTGGTTTAATCTGCTTATAATCACTCACCCCCCTGGCACCAAGTCTGTGTACATGTGCGCTCTCCTCGTCCCACTACGAGCCCGGATAATGGCCATATCTTAAGAGGATTCCCGTAATAATGTTTAAAAACCCATACACTTAGATTTCTTGTAGATATAGTCGATATGAAGCTATACTAAGCAAAATACTATGCAAATCAATCAATATGGAATCAGTGTTATTATCATAGATTGAATATAAATGGACATAGCTAATCTGCTAGCCACAGCGTTCCAAATATGAAGATTTCTGGCACCATCCTTTCCATGGCTTTAGATTGGAAAATAGTTGCCCCTTTCTTTGTAGCTCCTGCAGTGAGCCTCATCATTTTTGGTCTTAAAATGTTCCTATTAGCCCACTCTTCATGATCCTGATGTTTTTATTTTTGCTATTTTGTCTGCAAATAAATTATTCTTCCTAGTATGGACCTGGCTCCAAATTTGCCCCTATAACTGGTGGCCTTGTGAGCTTCATTTGACTGGAGCGGAGCACTACGGGTGGCATTACACTCCCTTTGTCCACTTTGTTATACAGTTTATGGTTATTACTTATATTATGTTATATAAAATCTGTGACATTTGCTATTCCACCATTCTCACAGTAATAACATGTGACTTGGCTTGATGAACTGGCCCAGCATGGAGAGTTTAATTTTTTACCATGTGTTTCATTCATTCATTATTATATTCAGATTATAATTCAGTTTGTTTAAAATGCATAATCTGTCATTCTATTATATTCTATTATCAGCCATTGATTGGTTCCCCACTGTGCTATAATTAAAACAATCTTAATTGGGAATACATGTGTGGTTTAGTCACATCTGGAGACATGTCATTACGAAGGCGCAGATGGTTTTTATGAGTCACGTGTAAATCTGCTGCCTTGAAATGATCCATGCAATGTCAAAAACAGGAGTGAATGATGACAGTGTTATGGATTATTAGTCTGACAATGGTTTCTGTGATATAGTTTATAGCTATAACGACGTAGACTGGAGAGGGGAGTTTCTCAGTAGATTCTTGCTCTGCTTGCAATGGCCATTACCTTTTATGTTATATCTTTTCTTCTTTGTCTCGGGTGCAGTGGCCCTGGGGTGCTGCTGAATACTGATGGACGTCTTCTTCAGGCTTGGCTGACCTTCAAATGGGCATTTCCTGAAAGGCACCAGGAGGATATTTTAATTAGGATTAAATGAGTTTAATTAGTGGGAAATTGTGTGATTGCTGCTGATTGGTTGGTTACATTTCTGAATGTTCATTGGTTTTCAAAGGCCCAATGATATTAGAGAATACCTCTTCAGCTACTGTTTTAATGTCCTGGTTTCAGTCTGGACACATTATTATTATTTGCATTTTTTTACTAGACTTCAACACAACAATTAAGAGAATGAGCATTAATATAAGCAATAATTCTAAAAATACAACTAAAGAATAAACCATATGGACCAAAAGAGACAAAACACGACAACAATAAAAGACCAGGACCAACATACAGAAGACAAACTGGAGAGGACAAGACAAGAACCTAGAAGTCCTGTAGATAAATTATTATGTAAATCACTGCATTTAAAGAAATAGATGGTTTAAAGCGGCCACTCTTTGAAGGAAAAGCCAAAAGGAAAGAATAAGTCATGATACTGATTTGTGACCTTGTGAGCAGAATAACATGTTGTTTTGTCCCATGTTTTGTTGTAAATAAACCATTTGAATTTGCAGTGAGGAAGCAGAGTTTCAGTTGTGGTTGGAAGGTTTTTATAACTGGCTGAGCTCTGCTGCTGCTGCCCCACCACAGACCACAGGCAGACGGGACGGTCCCAGCTGGGGATGGGGTTGGTGTGGGCTGTGGGGCACTTGGGGGACTGGGTGGGTGTCTTTTTGTATGTTTTTACAGTCTAAGGTACCATTTTTACAATTTGTCAGACAGATTCAACTATGTCTAGTCTGAAGTGTACTTAATGTGGGCTGATTGGTTTATACAGTGTTATTTAGTTTGCCACTAAAACTCAAGATGAAAATATTACTATGGTTTAGTTGTTACCCAGTTACTAATCAATATTAAACCTAGCATGGAAACTAGACGCTCATTTGGACAAGTATTAATACTTTGTGGTTTTCTGAATATTTTTTATGGTCTGAACTAGTCAGAACATGGCAACATTAAAATTAATATTGAAATTGAGTTTGAAATTTTGGTATTACATGACACTAATTTGTTTAGTTCACTAGATCATATTCTGAAATTATATTGCCTGTTAATCTATTGCTCTATCTGTCAAAGTATCAATAAATTGTGTATTCTAATAATACACCCTAGATGTTAGTTGCAGTAATATAATATAAAAGGAAAATTCCAGTCACAAATAATATTTAATAATTATCTGGTATTTAGGAACGCAGCTTTATTTATCTTTCACATCACAACTAACCCCTTCAAATAGATAAAAGTTCAAAAATTATCAGACATTCTAGACCGAAATTAGCCTGTAAATAGTCTTGTTACATCTAATTAAAGGCTCAACCAGGATATCTGCTTGACCGATATCATGAAACTGACACACGATACAGCTCATTTTTTCAGTATTGACACTGATATTTGATTCCAGTTTTGCTATCAACACATCCCTGTTATCAGTGCAGATCACAACAGTAGTTTTTCTCCATTGTCCCTATTAGAAATACTGTACTCATTGATGGTCCACTTTGAGTTGCATGCTGTCATCTGTGTCTCCAGTCATAAAGAAGCACAAACAAACAGAGAGAGGAGCTGTTCCTGGCAGGAGGCAGACCGGCCCATTTCTTTGCTGTCTCTAATGAGCACCATAAAGAGGAGACCACATCAATATTTCAGAGCCCGCGATCACGCCCAACACGAGCCTACAGAGGTGTGCTGTGCAGCCTCTCTGCCAATTTTGTCATATTCCACCCCAAACAGGAAATGAATCTACCAACAGCGAACAATTGTTTTCATACAGAACATTTTCTTGTGACACGATTTTAATAAATGTGCATTATTATTGGTAATTTGCACAGCTAATGGCATGATATGTTGGCATGGCAGGGTTGCATATTTAATGTTTGAAATCAATAATGAACACCTTAAAAGAACAAATAACTAGTTACATTACTAGTGTGAGACATAAATGTTGACGCCTTGAACCAGATAAATTTGCACCGATTTAGAATACAGAAACAATTTAGTTTTATGACCACTCTCCCGTTGTCCGTTAACAGTACTTTGTTTTAATGGTGCAATATCTAGAGTGCATGTTATTGATGGAGTATTGTGAGAGTCCTGTCCCAGTGGGTTGGTGCTGGGTTCATGTTGTTGGTGAAAGTGATGTCTCTAAACTTGAAGTGTGTTTCCCCCTTTGGGAGTGGCCAACTGGGGTCGTACACAGGACAATCCATCTGTGTGCCTCAGATCTCTTCACTTTTATATGAAAAAAAGTCATTTTCACAACTCCTGCTGTGAAACAGAAAATCCCCTTAATAAGATTATTAGGCATGAACTTTTGATGCTTGTAGGTCTCATTTATGATTTTGTTTTGGGCAGCTGCATTCAAATATAATGTTATGTGAAAAGCTACTGAATAGATCCACATTTTGAACTGAAATTGAAAGGGTAAATCCAAAGAGTCTTATAAGACCGGGTCTGCCTTTAAACACAGGATATTTTTGTTCTATTTGGAAAAACATATCTTTGAAATTCCCTGTTAACTTGCTGCAGCACAGGCCTAAAGCTGTGCTCAAAATGTGTGAGTGAGTCCTGGTGAGGTGTGAACAAACTAGAATAATTTAAATGGCAGATTTGAGAAAGTGTGCCTCGGGATATTTTGATGTAAGTTTTAACTGAAAAATACTATTTGAAACTTGGTGTGCAATTATAATGAATGAAAATGTTTACTGTGAGTCTGTGCCTTGTAGCCATTCATACATTAAAACAAAGGACATTTTTCTGTTCAGGTGGATGAGCTGTACGAGGCATTTTGCATCCAGAGTCGATTGCGGGATGGTGCCATTAGGATGAAGCAGGCGTTCTCCTCATCTCCATCCACTAAAGCCACAAAGGAGAGCATCGCAGAGGTCAACCGCCGCTACAAGGAGTACACCGAGGTACGACCAAAGAGAGTGGTCAAAACTACGAGTTTAGCAACATAAAATACATAGACCAAGTTAAAGATTAAATACAAAATGTATCCAGTTTTGAAACAATTACGTCTACCTCCAATTTTATTTTAGTAACACATTTGCATTATCGAATGGTTTCAGTTTTGCAAACTTGTATCAAGGTTGTTAAAAATAAACCACAGAGTACATTGTTCTGTTAGGGATCTAAATGTAAAGATGATCTTTCTGATAGTTTGGTTATTCTGGTTTCTGAATGTAAAGGCAGTTTTAACTGTGAAAAACTTTCCTCTTCCATTTTATATGTTCATTCAGATTCTTTGCTATATATTTTTTGTGTTATGGATTTGCAGTAAATATGTCCTCATTTATCATGTGATAAGCTCAGTAAACCCTGCCTTCTGTCTCTATGCGTGCTTCTTGCTTAAGCTTTCCACACTTTACCGGTATGGGATTTTGAACATGGCAGCTGTCCAAGTGGCTTACAATACATCTTAATTACACACCTGTCTTAGCTGTGAAAGGCTTTGTGAAGGATCTGCAGATAACTTGATTACTGTTGTTGATGTTTTTGTGATCGATGGCTTGATCTGTGTCCCTTATAGAACATGAGCACGTTTGAGACTGAGCTAGAAAACCTGCTTGGGGAGTTTCATATCAGAATGAAAGGTGAGATGCAAAGCAAACTAGTAAATCTTTCAACATATAGATACACTTTTTAAATTGTATAATAATTAAATGTGCATTGTGTAACTCTTCTGGTGGAGGGTCTGCCATCTGCTTTGCTCCATAGAGAAATGTTTCACAGTGTGGCTTTAAGCAGTTCTATCATCATGGAGACCAAACCATGCAAAGATACTGACCAGATCTCCCGTAATTGAATAATTGAATAAATGAATAAATGTAAGATAGATCTGCGTAATGCCATATAGTGGAACATTCAAAGCAGAGCAATGACATATCCATAGAAACAAGGTGATGGCTCCCAAAAAAGTTAATAAAAAATAAAAATAACTGTCTATTTTAGGTTTGGCTGGATTTGCAAGGCTTTGTCCAGGAGACCAGTATGAGGTAAGATTTCAGAATAAGTCATTATGAATTTCCACAAAAACAGTACTTAAACAACTGCATTTAAATGTCCAGATTTTCATGAGATATGGGCGCCAGCGGTGGAAGTTAAAGGGGAGAATTGAAGTGAACTCGAGGCAAAGCTGGGATGGAGACGAGATGGTGTTTATGCCTCTGATAACTGACCTCATCAATATAAAGGTACAGTGGAAATAGGACACCATTCACCATTCATTTGTGAACTAGATTTTGATTTTACTGACCTTGTTTTCATGCCATCATCTGACTGTATCTCATGTGAAAAGGTCTCAAGAAAAAAGTAAAGTACTGAATAAAAGTTGTTTATTTGTTTGATCAGGTGACAGAGCTGAAGGGTCTGGCCACTCACATGTTGGTGGGCAGCGTGATCTGTGAAACCAAGGAGCTCTTCACGGCTATGCCTCAAGTGGTGGCTGTAGACGTAAACGACCTGGGCACCATCAAACTCAACCTGGAGGTCACGTGGTAGTAAGTGTGCAACTAAATGTTTAAATATTATTGTACCATTTTCTGATCTGTTATAATGTTGTTTCCTTATCAAAAACATACCAGGAGTTTTGTTTTGTTTCGTTCACACAAAAACACAAACCCTGGATTATTTAATTAGGCATCTCAAACTGAAAACACTCCACCTTGTGATGTCATGTGGTAACACAGGAAGTGCTCCAATATGTTTTTAAACCTTTAAGTACAGTCTGACAGTAAAGATTCAATATGTAGTTGTGGAAGGTTAAAATTATATGATACATACTGCCATCTGGTGGAAACGCATATTATTAACATTTGGTGAAGTCTACTGTTTGCTATTGCTACTTCAAAGTATTACCAGTAAAATAAAATGTTTGATATGATGCAACTAAAAGCAGCTGCCTCTGATATTTCTCTTGCATTGTACATTACTAATATTAACGTGTCGAACTTAATAATATATCATGAAAATTGTGAAAAATGAATATTTCTTCAAATATTTTTGAGGTAGAATAGATATGTATGCTAAGATATTGTGTTTTTGATTTGTTAAACAGTCGCCATTTAACTATAACTTTGATTGTTTCTCTGTTTTTAAAAAATCGCTCTTTAATAACTTTGATTTGTTTCTATTTCCTTAGCCCCTTCGATGTAGAGGACCTGACTCTCTCATCTTCCAATGTAAGCAAAGCTGCAGCCATCCAAAGACGAGTGTCAGTCTACAGCCAGGGCACACCAGATACCCCCACCTTTCAGGACTCTTCCTTCTTTGTGAGTACATCCCATTGTCCCATTATTGATGTTACGTGTTATGTGTTTATTATGTTTTTGGAAAACCCCTTAACTAAGCATTTTTGTGTTGGTGCATCATGGCTCTAGTTGCTTCTATCCCAAAAACTAACCCAAGTCCGTTTTCCTATTGTGTCACTCTTTTTTTTACTATTTTTTTATGTCTATACCTATCTCCCCTTACCCGCACTATACCCCACTTAACACATAAACCCATGGCCCTCTCATACCCCCTGCCTTGGCCCCATTTGTGTAAAGAAGTGGCGGCCGTATCCAGTGGAGCGGCAGCACCTCTCCTTTCTGCACATTCTCCGGGACACGCTGCTGGAGAAGCTCAGGCGCAGTCGCTCTTTTGGGGACCTGGCCTCACTTCGGCCACGGCCCAAATCCAGTCTGGAGGTCTATGTGAGTGTGGGGTGTGATGTGCTGGTCAGTCTCTGTATTTTGTCTGGTGATGACTGTTGTGTGCATATTACATTCAACAAATCACAATATTCAAGTGCTGTCTGTCCCTGTGCATGCTTTCTTCTGCTTCGTGTTTGGTTGAAATAAAATACTGTAAAATGTCCTTAAAGGTGCTCTATGTAACTTTTCTGATAGAAGGTTCTCTGCAGGCTTGTCTTCATGTATTTAATTCTATACTGTGGAAAATTCCAGGCAAACTAATATCACCCCCACGTAGACAAAGGATGGTAAGCCCACCACCAGAAAAGTTACTTAGTGCACCTTTAATTAAGGCAAAATGGTAATGCAGGCCCAGGGTATGGATTGGAGTGGAGTATGTGAAGTTAGTTTTTATTCAAATCTTTAATATGGCCACAAGAGGTCACAAGCCAGTGTTGTCTTGGTGATATTTTTAGTTATGCTAAGTTTTTCCAGGAAGGGTATTCAAATCAACATGCAAATCTTTCAACATTATGAGGCAAGTAAATTTATGCAGCACTACTTTCAAATAGTGCTTAAAGGCTGCATACTTTTGCCACTTGAATCTTAGAAGAGCCCTTACTTTGCACTACTATGGAGTATTTTTACAGAGTGAGACTATAGTGTATATTATGAGTGCGAAGTCTACTTTAAATTAAATTATATAATATATATATATATATATTTATTTATTTATTTATTTTTCTCTGCAGTCCACTTTACCAGATGACGTCTTTGAAAATGGTGGATGCGGTGTGGCTGAATGCAAGCGCCTTTCTTTCACCTTCTCGGACACTTCTGTTTCTACGCCAAGCCCCGCCCCCAGCATACACTCAACCGTTCAATCAAATCCCGAGATCACAGTCACGCCCCCAGAAATGGACCTATTGCCTCCACACTTCTTGCCACCGCGGGAGGATTCAATCGCAGAGGAACATTTGGTGGAGGAGGATGAGGAGGAGTACGAGGAAGATGGGGAGACGGCCAGCAGGGGGAGTCGTAGGACGAGTGGTAGTTTGGCCAGCGATGAGGCAGAGGTGGCAGAGGACTCTGAATGGGAACGCACTGAATCCCAGAGAAACTCGGGATCTCACTGTGGATCTGCTGCTGTGTCTGTTTGTACAGAAAATCACTTGACAACTGTAGCACCGGAGGATGTTTTTCTAGACCAAGGAGATGAACTAAAACCTGTGGAGTTGGACACAGAGGAGCCAGGTAGTCTGACACGGCAGCTGGTGAAGAGGCTGACGTCTTCTGAAATTGAGCCCCCTGTGGTGAGCTCAGCAGAGGTAGGGGAAGTGGGTCTTAGCTGGACCGGTGAGGGCAGCAGGGCATTTCTAGAGAGTGGTCTGGAGGAGGCGATCCATAGCCTGCTCATGAGGCTCGAGGCTCTGACGCACCGATGTAGAGAACTGCAAGATCTGGAGCAGGAAGTCATGAGATTTGAAGACATCCTAAAGGTGAATATTGTTAGTACTTGATCACTGATTAAAATGATAGCTTGTGTCACTTTAAAACCTGAAAATTGTATGTGCATAGTTTTTATTCATCCTTTTACCACTTATCTCAGCTAAGCAAGAGTGTGTTGTAAAGGTCAGTGCTCCAACAATTGTGAGATTGGCTACAATATAATCAGATATTAAACAAATTACAAAGGTAACTAATTTTAGTTAGCGTAACACTTAATCTTTATTTTACGTAGCTCAAGACAGGTGTTTTTAAAGATCCTGATTTTATCGAGATCAGTGAGTAAAATTAGTTTAAAAAAAATACTTTTTTCAAGATCAGTACTTGCTCAAATGTTTCGATACCTCTTTTAGTATTGATTTTTTGATGCCCTTTAAATGGGTCTCTATTGTTTGAATGTGTATGGATGCCAAACCTGAAAATTGCTGCAAAACAAATCTATCTATGTGTACAAATGAAGTCACCTGGATCTGATGATAATAACAGCAGTATGCATTAAAACATGTATTATTATTATTAATTTATTTTTGCATTTGAATTTACTACCTTGACCCTTCTCCTTGCAGTGTCGCCTCCCGGGTCATAGGAGTCGCTCATCCAGCCTCAGTCTGACCGTGGAGAGTGCGCTGGAGAGTTTCGACTTTCTTAACACGTCTGATTTTGATGATGAAGACACAGGAGATGACAACACTGTTCTCAACACACCCCCACAGAGGTCCCCAGTGTTTGATGCAGATGGAGAAGCTATTGGGTATGTAAAATCACTTAAATGACCTATATTAAGATTTTTTATCTGTGTTACAGCATTGTTTCCTCATCACAAACATACCTGGAGTTGTTTTGTTTCATTCATACATGTTTAAACATCCTGTATATTTAGGCTGTGTTCTTCTGTCAAACTGAAAACACTCTGTTCCACCTGATGTCAAGTGGTAATACAAGTGCTCCACTGTGCTTTTAAATTCCAAACACTTTCACAAGAATCGTTTTAATAAATTCAGCCCTGGATATGCCTAACTTTGAAGCTACAGCTATTATTTTAGCCTTGTACGGTACACCAGCAGAGATATTGCATTTCTAAATTTTTTTAAATTCTATTTTTAGAATAATGTATAACCAATAATATATGGTTATTGTAGTGCATTGTAGAATATAGCAGTTCAATTTAGGCTACAAATAGCTGTTAACTTTAAAAGCATCACAGCATGACGTGACAAGGTGGAACAGAGCAATTTGAGCTTTGGAGCTGTACATAATTATGTATGAATGAAACAAAACACAACTCCAGGTAGGTTATATTTTAGACGAGGTAGCGACATTATAACATGGCTTCAAGCTCACAGTCAAGTTTTTGCGTAATATCCGACAATTTCTACACTTTTTTTTTTTTTTTTTTTTTACATAAGTTGACATATATGTTCTGTTCTTGGCCAGGGGTCAACATCCAGAGGCCAGAGGGCATCTTAGTGAAGCCCTGACAGAGGACACTGGGGTGGGCAACAGTGTGGCAGGAAGCCCCTTACCTCTCACCACTGGGAATGAAAACCTGGATGTGGCTATTGTCATTCACCTCCAGTACTGCAACCATCTCATTCAGGTACAAATCACGCTGTACTAAAACAAAGCAAGTGTTTGTAAGTTTCTTACTTGCTATATTTCAGCTGCTTCAAGACAACCAGGGCATGTTTAAATAATTGTGATACCACATAGATTGCCCTCTAGTGGTCAGTGGTGACCGAATAATCTTTAATTGTGAAATATGGATGATAGAACAGATTTAAATAATGATGGTTTGAAGTAGGTTGTTTGTACTTGTACCTGTCTATATAGAAACAAAACAATTAGGGTTTTAAAAGTGGGGCCCTTATGATATGCTGTAGTGATCTAATATAGTCTTTTTCCAATGTATTGTCAGTTGCTGTCCAGTGGTGTTGGAGTATGGCAGAAACGCAGTCTTCTGAACAAACTTGCTGGACAGACGGAGATGCTGGAGGAGCTCTCAGAAATCACAGCTGAGAAAATGGGAGCCATCACATGTGTCCCCGATGGTATGAAACAAATCCAATACATGATACTGCCTTTAGTTTTTACTGTGGATGTTGATGTTGTTGATCTTATATTTCAGTGCTCCCAGGCCTTGCCGAGCGCTCCGAGATGATGTCTTTGTGGTCAGAGTGCAGTGGCTCCACTGGGCTTTTCCACACCACACTGGATCGTGTTTTGAAGCACATGAACCAGCGTTTTACCGCCGCCTTGCAGGAAAAACACCCACAGAACACAGAGAAAGGTCACTAACCTTTATTCAAATCATGTCTTAGTATACAGAACATTTTATTGATTTACATGATGTTTTTGTTGACTTTTTTCATCTGTAGTGATCGGTGTGGTTGTGGGTGAGATGGTGGACAAGACTGACCTGGCAGTGGGGTCCCCTTCTGCGGTGACTGCCCTGTCCCAGGATGTCCTCACTGTGTTCCAGTTCAACTGTTATGTATTACAACATGGAGTCCACAACATGGAGATGCACCTACTCAACCTGGCCAGAGAGGGTGAGCTTATAAACCAGTTTTCACAGAGAAAAATATTGGTCTTATTATATAAGCCATTATAGCCACTTTAAGTAGCTAGGAATCAAACCAGGAGTTAACAAAGACTACTGACTAAACTAAAATTAAACTGACTAAAAAAGTGTTTAAATAAAATACAATTATTTCAGAAAGGATTTCTGACTATTAGAAATAAGAAAATGAGGATAAGCTTTAGTAATGGGCTGACCCATTTAGACCTTTTAAGCCCTTCAAATTATTATTGAATTTAAAATGGTCTCACTGATCACAGCAGTTTAAATACTGTGTATTTCTCTATCTCAGAGGTGTTTGCTGAGGCCATATCGAGTGGCGATCACAGCCAGTGTCTGTCGGAGCTTAAGGAGGTGCCTTTGTCTTCGCTTTGGCCCCGAAACCAAACCCTGAGGTCCTTGGCTGCACTCCTCACAGCAGCGGACCCTGAGGTGACCAAGACCACAGCAGACTACCTCTCCTCCGCACCCCCCAACAGCTTCTTCAGGACCAGGGTCAGTGAGTTACAAATAAGAAGAGTTTTTTAAAACGTATACTACCAGTCAAAAGTTTGGACTCACCCTCTCATTCAGTGTTTTTTCTATATGTTATATACATACAGAAGACAACAAATATATGATGTAAGCTGTATGGAATTATGTAGGAAAGGGAAAAAAAAAGTATTTGGTTATAAAATGTTTTCTCTTTGCTACATAATTCCATGCATCTTACTTCATATATTTGGTCTTTTGTGTGTATATCAAAAGTAGAAAGCAGTAATAATAAACATAGCAAAAAAAAAAAAAAAAAACAGTAAATGAGACGGTGAATCCAAACTTTTGACTGGTAAGGCATGCTGATTACAAGTACACTAAGACTGTGTGTTGTTGGATTCACAGGCAGTGGAGTGCTACACCCAGGCACTGTCCGAAGCAGGAGTCCAGAGCCAAAGAGCCGCCTGCTCAGCACTCAGCTGTCTGCAGGTTTGTAGACACAAATCATCAGTCACTGCCAATAGTGGATCAGTGTATATTATAGCATTTTACTAACAAACCTGGTGTAATTGTCAACTCAACCGGTGATGTATATTTTGCCACTGTAATGAGCAGGTATCGCTTACTTTCTGTGTGCAGTTTAAGGCTAAACACTTTTTGTTTGTTCAATTTTGTCTCTCAACATATAAGCTTTCACCTGGAAACATAAAAGCTTTCACCTGGAAAACAACAACATTGTGCAGTCTGCATTCATATGGGATGCTGTAGCTTCATAGGGTTTCCTAAAATGCACTTTTCTTTGATACAGACGTAAAGATCATCCTTAAAGTATCATCTACATGCACCAATTGTTTCAGTCCTGTACTTAACACGTACCCCTGTCACAATAACAAATTTTGCAGTGTGATATATTACTGAAGAAAATATATAAACTATATATATAATACCATACTAATACTATATAATATTGAAATTTATGCCACAGACACACAAACCCTGAAGCAGAACTATTCCATAAAAAAAGAGTCTAAATGTACAATACGGTAAAAAAAAAAAAACAGCAATAAATAAAGAGCAAAATGATTTTTTTTTTTGTAGTTAATTTAAATAATGAGACATAGAAGTTATTTATTCAACCCTCTACAGCTCAAATCTCATTGCAGTACAGAAAAATAATTAAAAGTACTCACAATAAATGTTGACCCTCCAAAAATTTTAAGTCCATCTGTCATGTATTGAACAATAACTCAATATAGTAATTACTGTGACAAACCTATTAACAAGAGTTTGACAGATTGTATTGAAGGACTTGTTGATTTCCAAGTCTTTCTGTTTCTAGGCTGTTGAGAGCATAAAAGCTGTGGTGGCTTTGTGCGATTCGGCTGATGAAGAGTTGCGGCACGTCGCCATAGAAACTCTCCTCACTTTTGGTATGTTGAAGCACATTTCCAATCTATTCAAAACAGCACTTACACTCTTTCAAATCTCATGATGTAACTGACTGATGGTTTGTTCAGGTGATGAGGGGCGGCTGGCGTATGAGCAATTGGATGCCATACCGAGCGAGATGCTGCGTTTGGGGACACGTCGGGGAAATGCTGTCACCACTGCCTTCTGAATCACACAAATGATCTTCACTGAAGCCACTCTACTGCAGTGCATTGGAGACTGAGCTATCACAGTTTACACCACAATGATGCTGCCTCTGTAAAGACAAACAAAACTACAAAACTACAACTGTTTAACCTGGATTATTCACTTTCTCTTCTTCTGACTGCTTTCTGAGCCAGGATGACCACTCAACCTATACTATAGGGTATAACCTGATGCATTCTTCACAGATCAAACTATAAGTACTTTAAACTATAATGCACATAATAATCTTAATATGAGTCTCCTGTGAATTACAATTTTCTGTACATTAGAAAACTACTTGTAATGTTAGAGGCGCTTTACAGACATGCTTTGTCACAAGGCTTGCAAATATGGCTTACTCAGATGTTTTTATTAAATGTCTGTTTTTGTTGGATTTTATGTTTCAAGGACTTTTTATGAATGAAATGTTTGGCAGTGAGGACCATTATCACAGAAAAACTTCTGTAAAACGTTGAGCCTTGATGAAAAATAGTTTACAACTTTTGAGGAGGAAAATGTCAGGAAAAATGCCCTGTCTCGTTTTGTATCAGTTTTTCATGCTTGCAGCTTAACAAGTGCAATTTGTTGTATATATTTGTAATTTTATTAGCTTTGAACCAGTATAATGTTAATGTTTTGTAAGTATATTTTTCCTTGGCTTAGCAGGCACCAAGCCAGCCTGTGGCAATAGTAATGTGAGAGATGGTGAGCTTGCATTTTAAGTTGTAACTGTTTCGAGGAGTGCAAAGGTTTAATTTAAATGAAGTTTTGTTCAAGAGGAAGTTGCAGGGTGGACTTTGATTTCTTAAAATTTAGTTTGGAAAATGGGGCCGATATGAAATGTTTTCAACCTCTTTGTAACTACTGAGTTCAGTGCTGGTGCACAATGACAAAGTCTCACTTTATTTATTTACACCTATATACTTTGAAGTTATATCATATAATGGTGACATGATGTAAATTAACTGTATATTGTTTTATTTTGGATAAGTCTTATCCAGTATTTGTTACCATGCAAGTTATTGCATGCACAACTTTACAAATAGTTTATTTTAAAATTCTAGATTATATTCTGTTATATATTAATGTTCAAATGTGCTTTCTGTATTTTCCCTATAAAGTCAATTGCACAATGTATCTTTGACATGTTTTGATTTAGAAACTTAAACCATAACCAAAGCAAAATTATTGGACATGTAATTAATCCATGCAGAATGTATTTTAAATACTTCTACAGAGCTAACATTAAAAGCACAATTTAATTCCACATGAGTCTTGTTTGGTCTAAAAGCCATACTGATACAGTTGTACTGTTTTTATCAAGTGTTTTTTACAATATGTAAATGTTTTTACTCAACTAATTTGTGAATAATATTTGGGATAGTCCCGTCAGTGGCACAAAAACACTGACTGCATAGTTTGTGCATTGTTCCCTTGGCTTAAATACTGATTCTTTGCATAAAGTGATTAGCATTTTCATCTGCTCACATTACAATAAAGTTTTATTTTTACATATTTACAAAGTCTTTAGTTTTTGCATAAAAAAAATAAACTGAACAAAGGATGAACGATCTTCACTAGTTCAAATTACAATGTTTGTGGTTAGAGCATTACTTAGAACAAGGCAAATGATGGAAGAAGTTTAAACTTCCATTTGACTCAAACACCCATTATAAATAAGTGCATTTATTAATGACATGCAAACTGCTAATTATCATACACAAGATTTCTTGCCATGCAGCTGCAAAATCTGAAGTCCAAAAACATGTATACATGACCACAGATTTTGAAGGGGGGAAAAAAAAAAAAAAAAAAAAAAAAAAAAAAACTTAAATTCATAAAAACTGAGAAGTTAAGAATTTTATTTTGGCAAGGTATAATGTGCCTTACAGTAAATCAACCAATCCTTAGAAAAATATTTTTTACAGCTGACATGTGTCAAAGAGCTAAAAACCATAGGCATAAAATAAAGTTCAAAAAACAACTTGAAAGTTCAAGTAAAAGTCAATTTAAGGCCATAGGCCCAGGCCACAGCAAGAGCTATTCCTGGTCATTTGAATGTTTTCATTCACACTCCTGGGACTTGAGGAGTTTCTTCAGTGTCCCTTTGGTTCGAGTCTTCAACTTCCTCCTCACAGTCTTTAGTTTGTTCAAACGAATCATCATCTTCCTCTTCAGTATCAAGGGCAAGCTCTCGCAATTGGTCAAGATTATCCGGGCTCTTACCAGTCAGTCGCTGCAGAAAAGTGAATATTAAAAGAAAGCCTTCAAAAGTAAAGTAGTTCACAATAGCAACTGTTCCTTACTTCAATCATATCAGCCATGTACTGAACGTGCTGTGCCAACTGCTGTAGCTCATCATTCTCACTCTGAAGCTTCAAAATTTCACAATTTTTTGTCTCTACTTCCTTGTGGAGCTTTAGGGAGAAGGAATATTTTGTGATTAGACAGAATAAGTTACAATAACATGTTTCAAAAGGATGAGCGTGGGAACAGGCAAATTCAGGTTAAACATTAGCTTTACCTTCTCATTCTCTTGTAGAACATTATACAGGGCTTTACGCCTCTCCTCTGCCACCTCTTTCCAGTATGTTGTGGGTGGGGTTTCTGTGATAATAAACATTTGTATTGCGTTTCAAGTTTTAGCAATTAGGCATTTAGAAACAAACCTTTGACCATGAGTTCATAGGCCTCATTTGTCTCACTGTTTGGAGAGACAAGAGCTTCTGTCTGAGTAGATTTGACTTCAACTTTCACTCTCTTTGGACCCTTAATTAGTTCTGGGACCCATTGTTTTCGTTTGGGAATGATCCTTGACCCCTAAAAATACCACAGTTAACGAAAAAAATAATAATAAAATGCAAGAGGAATTCTAAAAATAAGAGTAAATTGTGTACCTGTGATGCCCTCCCAAACTCTTTGTTAACTGCTGAAGGCTGGAGTACCTGAAGAGTCATCCTTTGAGGCCCCACTGACCTTTTTGAAGTAGAAAAAAAGCTCTGAAACAGAAAAGGTGAAAACATTAAAGTAACAAAGTATAGGCAGAGAAGCGCACACACAAAAGTAAATGAAGGGCAAAAGTAAATGAGCTAAACACAGGTGTGGGAACATAGGCAAGACCGCTTTTTCAGCCATGGGAAAGAGAACCCACGCTCATTAAATTGCAATAAACAGCAGTATTTGTTAATGTTTAGCGCCCAAGTCAAAACACTGATCATTTAAAGAGTGAATCGGGCATCTACAGAGCACTGCCATGATAGGGAATAAAAACACTCAAAGGGACATTTAGCTAGCCATTTTATCTGGTTCAGCAAAATTGTGTTTTGTTTTTTTTGTGTACTCTTTCCCCTCAAAGTCCGTATTCAAACCAAACAAGACACGAGCCTTAAAATACAAAACATTACTCACCAGTATGTTCTCACTGGACTTCTCACTGACCTGCTTGAGTTTTCCACTGGAAGCCATTTCTGTTCAGAGATACCTGATGACACGTACAGAAAGATATGTTGTAAACATTCACTTTCCCTTAACCAAATTAAATGCGGTCTACAAACAGAATGTGCAAATTATCAACATCAACATGTAGCTAGTGTTGCTACAAATCAATTTGGAACCCGCACAAGGACAAGTTATAACCAAACAACCTAACCGAAAATTAGATCGGTGAGCTCGATTGGTACAAGAGGACGTTGAAAAAAAGAAAAACTCAGCGGAATAAAAAGTACTCACGATTCTAGTCAAAAGAGGTCGAAAGGATCTTTTCTTCTGAAAACTGATCTCGCGCCAGGAACTTAAATACGCCCCATCACGTGGGCGCTACAGACCCACGTGACGGTTCAGTAGCACCCACGTGGGTTTGTTCGTCATTTATTAATTTGAAACCTCTAACTATGCCTCAAGAAAACCATAAAATGTTCAAATAAATAATGATACAAAACATGGTAAAACGTTCTCTGCCAACCCCTGGGCGATCTACCTCTTCTGTGGTTTATGGTAAAGATAAATTCAATTATTTTAATGTTTTATTATATTAGTCTGTAAATTTAACAGTGCTCACACCATGAATCTGCGTGGTCTTCCACAAGAGGGACGCATATAAGAATAATCAAATCTATAGAAATATAACATTTAGAGGCATGGTGGGACATTGTTGTTTATCCCTCTGGGATCACGTGACATTAAACGTCACATCTTTGTGCTCGCTACGTCGCCATTTTGGAGAAAGCTTGAGCTGCTGAACCGCGAGTGACAATATTAGCTACCAAAATACACACAAAGAAACCACTCCAACAAACACTGGACGACACGCCATTAACGATGGGCCCTCCGGGAGACACCACACAGCACGTCGAATGAAAGGACGGAGGATCGTCGCTGGATTGTCGATTTATCTTGACATGGCATGCGGCAGGGCGAGACGAGGGTTGTGACGACGAAGGAAAAGAGAGCTAGCAAACAACAACAACTCAACTGGAGACGTGAAGGGGCAATCTCGCTGTTGTTTAGCGTCCCGTAGCGACTACTTTGGCTAAAATGCAGAATAAAACTAGTTAATTCAACAAACCGCATAGTCATTTTAATCTGATAGCACTTGGCATTTATATTGCACAGGGCGAAAAATGTGAGCGTGAGAAATGGTGACCGGACGCTAGATAAGCACACACATGCCTCAAATGAGCCAAGTTCGAAAGATAAAATGTAGCTGTACAGGCAGTCACTACTAGTTAGTGTTGGAAGTGAATGCCAAGGTAAGGCTAATAATACGACCAAACCATGAGTCTCAGCCGTGGCAGCACTACAGGCTGCGCAGGGCCGAGTGAGTGGCACTAAACTCCAGGAAATGTCAACTTACGCTGGCCCTAGATGTTCCCCGGTGCCACTATATCTTGGCATCTGTATTTACCTGCCATGTTCGTCTATATCCCCAGTCTGTCTGTGTTAACACGCTCATAGTGCCGACTCTACAGAAATAATACAAATCTCAGCCATGGATAAGGGACTTTGAAATTACCCTAATTATGCATAGCCTATTGTCTGCTTGCTAGATTCTGTTATATCCAAATACGCCTGCTAAATATTTCCGCAATGAATTTTAGTAGAACCAGTTGACTTCATTGAAGCTTACAGAAGTCGTTTTCAGTTAGTCTAGTTTAAATCTTAGTTTTGAAACGTGTCTATGGCATTTTGATATTATGACAAAATCGACTTAAGAGTCATGTCTTAAATTTGAACTTCTGGAAAATGAGTAGGGAGATGTAGTCTTGTTTGATAGTCATTCCCCTTCCTCCTCTCTGTCCTTCTACAAATAGAAAAAAATGACTTAGTTTGTCTTTAATTTGCTTACATTTTCTGTTCATAGTTAGTGGGTATTTCACAGATCTAGTATAGAGTTGTTTGATGCGTTGCTAAAGAGGGTAGTTAATGGTCATCCTTTATCCAACCTGAAAAACAATAGTAGAGTTTTGTCAATTGTGCATTAAACGAGACAGCCGGCAAAATCTAACCATGGGGGACCCAACTTCACGAAGAAATCAAACAAGAAATCGACTTCGTGCCCAGCTTCGAAAGAAAAGGGAGTCTTTGGCTGATCAGTTTGACTTCAAGATTTATATAGCCTTCGTTTTCAAAGAAAAGGTTTGCTCACACAATATTCAACAGTAGATCAGTAGTTTATGTTACACATCCTCACACAACCTCTATTTTTTGTATTTATTACAGAAAAAGAAGTCTGCTCTGTTTGAGGTAGCTGAAGTGGTGCCCGTGATGACCAACAACTATGAAGAAAACATCCTCAGAGGTGTGCGGGATTCCAGCTACTCTCTTGAGAGTTCAATAGAACTCCTGCAAAAAGACGTTGTGCAACTACATGCGCCCCGCTACCAGTCAATGCGAAGGGTATGTTTCTAAACACTATATAATTAAAGTTTTTAAAACACAGTTTCTTAACACAGCTTATGTTTTTAGGATGTAATAGGCTGCACTCAAGAGATGGATTTCATTCTTTGGCCACGCAATGATATTGAGAAGATTGTATGTCTGCTATTCTCCAGATGGAAGGGGGCTGATGATGAACCCTTTAGGCCTGTTCAGGTCAGAATACACATACGTGACCACAAACATCTGCTATTTTAATTCTAGGGTAAATTTATAGAAGATTGTCTGCTTTGGTGTCAACAGGCCAAGTTTGAATTTCATCACGGAGACTATGAGAAGCAGTGCTTGCATGCTTTGGGTCGTAAAGACAAGGCTGGAATGGTCATGAACAATCCTACTCAGTCTGTATTTCTTTTCATGGATAGACAGCACTTACAGGTTAGTCCTTCAGCTTAAATTTGAAACTACTATAGCTGTCTTTCTGAAATTTAATCTTCATCTGTTGCTCCGTTGCAGACGCCTAAGACCAAGGCTACAGTTTTCAAGTTATGCAGCCTTTGCCTGTATCTGCCCCAGGACCAGCTGACCTGCTGGGGTGTTGGAGACATCGAGGACCATCTCCGCCCATATATGCCAGACTAGGGTGTCCTGCTCCATGCAGCCACATAGGAAAAGCCCTACCCTCCTTCCCATCTAAGCCTACAGATGCAAATTTATGTACTCATCTCGTTTCCTTTTACACGTTTTTGAATTTTTGCTTGGACCTCTCCTTTTTGTTACCCACACGCTCGCCTCCCTCCCTGACCTGATATTGATTCAGTTCACATCTTTTTTTTACCCTCCCAGTATCCCTTTTCTGCCATTTTGGATTGATTCCTTCATTTTCCCCCCTTCCCCTCCATTTCCTCCTCATCCGTTTGTTTTATTTGAACCTGCACGAACATTGATTTTTGAGTGGTTGGTTGTTCACTTGGAGCCGCTCTGTCAACAGCACCAGTCTATGGAGGAACTCTTGCATCAGAACATAAACATACAATACATAGGTTTTCATGGGGTTTCTCAGATGGACATGTGATATCCTTGTCAAACGAAAGGATTGTTGCGGCTTGTATGTAATGTCAAGGGGGGTGCTAAAACAACTTGACACATTCTTTTACCCGAGGACAGGTGCGAAATGGTGTTCATACACCTGTGTAAGAGATAACAAGATGAACAATATTTGTCAAATCATATGGTGTAGGTGCTGCTTCTTATACACCGCCTTAGAATTTGTTTTTGCAGGTCTTAAGCTCTTTTTGCAACATTTGCTTTTTCTTTGAATAATTCTACTGGCCTTTGTTAAATTCTTGAATGAGTTAGGTGGCATTGAACAGAGGTGAAACATGCTGGTTAAATATTGGAGGTCTTTCATGTTCAAGCACTTCATGCACTATAATTTTTAAGTGACTGAAATCAGTTTTGATTTTTATTTGGGACTAGGGTTGTTGAGACTCCAATATGGTGGGTGACAGTTTTGAAATTAAAACATAAAACTAATTTAATTTGACCTACTTATTTGCTATCGTGTTCAAATTATTATAAGGTCTTGTGGGCTTGCTTGTTTAAGACTGACAATGAACAAATAACTTGCTCCTTGTTGATTCTTGTTCTGTTGAAATGGTAAAAAGATTCTGGATTTTTCTGTTGACTCTCAATACAGCTGAGCATATCCCAATACAGCATTCTGAAAAAAATACATCTTTGTCGCTTTTTTATTGCATGTGCATGAATCATAATCACTGACGAGAATGTAATATAGCAAAATATTTACAGGCTCAACAGTTAGAGTATTGGAGTTTGGACTAAAGACGTGTGTTTCAGCTGCTCCCGAGGTGTTTAGTGTGCCTTCCTTGAGCAATCATTTTTCCAGTGGCTTTGTTTGTCAGGTCAACAGTAGCAAAAGCCAATGTTCTTCCCTGTTTCAGAACCTGGGCGGTGATGAGGACGTCTTCCCCAACCTTGGCAGCATTCATGTATCTGTAAAACAAAAATCATTCCATAAAGACTGCTGTTTTTGTAGCATCCTAAACAAATATTAGCAAGAAATCAACACTTGATACAGTCCATTGGTCTATGAAAAGTTGCTGTGTAATAATATTGAATAAATATGGCTTCATGGAAGTGCTAAATTTCCTGCACACTTAAGAGTTTGAAGAAGTAAATAATATTACAGCATAGTATGTACAACGTTTGATATTTTTTAATGTGTTGGATCTAGCTAAAAGATAATGATTCTGAAACTGAATGTAACTGTGCATATATCTTTAACCTGTTTATTTAATTGAGCTGTGTAATATTCATTCAGTACACACATAAAGCATTTGAGATTTATCTTGAGACAGTACTCGATTATCTATCTCATATACACTCTCACGTTATATTCATGTCCACGCTGACCCCTGGCGCGCCCCTCTCGCTGTACATAATGGCCACGGTGGAGATTACGTCCACCAGAGTCGCGGTCATCCCACCGTGTAGCGTGCCCCCGCGGTTTGTGTGCTCGTCTGCCACCTGCATCTCACATACTACCTTCCCCGGGCTAGCAGACAAGACATCCACCTAAAAGAGACACCTGATCGTCACACTACACAAGTTGTATAATTTAGCTAAGAACGTACATACATTCTAATAAAAACTGCTAAGTCGGTCACATATCAAGCATCCTCACCTTATTGAGTACTCGATCAAAGCCTGATGTGTCAGCCATTGCTCTGAACAGCTGCCTTACTGTATTTAAAGACATTAAACTCATCTTTAATGCGAAAATGTCCAATGTCAAACTTGTGTTTACTTCAAACCGGAAACTGTTGCATTTACAATGTGATTCCGACTAACCCTGACGAAGTAAAGATTTCTAACCAAATCTAATTTTAGATTTTGGCCAGGTTTCAATAACAAAAGGCCAACCACATGTACATAGTACATAGTGCAATTTTTGAATTTAATATAATTAGATTTGTTTTTTTTTTATTATTTTAAATTTGAAAAACTTGTTGGTTTAACAGACCCGGAAAATTTTCAGTGTAACACCGGAAATTAGTTTGCGGCGGCATGACTTGACTTAGGTTTCTCTTTGCTGTGTTTTTGGAAAAGAGGATACATGTCCACTACAGCAAAATTAGAGGAAGCATCTATGTCAGATGTGGAAAGTCGGACTCGTTTATGTGAGGAGTTTGCTTCAATTGCGGGCACTGACTCAGCTGTTGCTCAGTGCTACCTATCTGAAAATGACTGGGAAATGGAGGTACTATTATATACAGTTCTAGTGTATGTATATGTATATTTGAGGTATGTTTCAAATTCAAAATTTTACTTTTTGCTTTGTGCAGCTACGCCTCTTGATTTGTAATTTTTCAGCCTCCTTTGTAGTAATTGGCCAACTACCATTAAAACGTGTAGCTCACATTTTACTAATTCGTTCATTTCTGTTTAATGAATCCAAAACAAGTAAATGTAATTAAACTTGGACAAGATGAACAATAGATGCATTTGTCAACTGTTTTGTGTGTACTCTACCCTGCATGCATTTCTTAGACTGTAAAAAAGTAGAAAATAAGGTAAATCCATACAGCAGTTCTTTGAAACTGGAACAATACTTTTATTTTTAATAACACCACTGTGACGTTTCGGAGTCAGAACCCATCTTCAGACATGAATATTTTTATCCACAGCTGTTTTATACAGATCCAAGCGATCACCTGACCAACCATGTGACAAGTAATCTACAAATATAGAAAATAACAGTCAGTAAATATTGATAAACAGATCGGTATTGCATCATAATGGGAGTTTTATTGAGAAGAACACCTGCTGACACAAACAGGAGTGATGGGTGTTGTAATGATATACAGGTCACAAGAGGGCGCTGTCACGCTTTCAATGTTGCTCATTTTAACAACGAATAAAAGATTGTTGTTGCGTCTCTCACATGGATCTATTAACAAAGTAAATTAACCTTCAGACTTCCTGATTTTGTATCATGCTTTTCAGAGAGCACTGAATTCTTTCTTTGAGGCAGATTTGGAAAGTGTATTTGAAGTGAAAGATTCTCAAGAGCAAAAAAGTCCTGAAAGAAAAAAACAAAAGATGGATCAAAATGTACCACAACAATGGTAAGCGTCTTCTTTTACAATTGCCTCTTGCTGTGAAGTTTTACTAAATATAACTGAAACTTTGCAGCATTGATTTGACTGAAGACAGCCCCTCATCTTCAAAACATGAAGAGGAAAATGACAACAAACTATCTGTTATTACTTGGAATGTAGATGGTCTTGATACAGACAGCCTCGCTGAGCGGGCCAGGGGCCTATGCTCCTACTTAGTTTTGTAAGATGAAGAGTAAATGGGTGAATTCCACTTGGAGGTCTTTTTTCTTTCTTTCTTTCTTTTTTATGTTTTTCTTATAGATACACTCCAGATGTGGTTTTCTTACAGGAGCTTATTCCACCCTATGTGCAGTACTTGAAGAAAAGAGCTGTCAGCTACCTAATTGTTGAAGGTATTGTGTGTTATGATGTTGGTTTACAGGTTACCCAATACTGTCTGAGGGTCATAAACATTGTTTTTTCTGATTGCTGAAGGAGGTGAGGAGGGTTATTTCACTGGCATGATGCTCAAGAGGTCCAGAATTAAACTCTTGGAAAAAAGCATTGTACCTTATCCTACCACTCAAATGGGGAGAAATCTGCTTGTAGTTCAGGTTGGTAATTATATTATGTATGGTGTAAAACATGAATATTTCCCAACAGCAAAAACTTGAAAATATTTCAGTAATTGAACAGATATGTGCTGCATTTTGAATGCATTATTTGAGGTCTAAAATTTAAAAGGACTGTAAAATTATTCACAAAAGTAGAGAAAGATTACTTAATATGTTAGTTAGAAACGTTATAATAAAATTATACATTTTTGCAGAATTTGAGAATTTTATGTTGTTTTTTAATCAATCAATATAATTTACCAAATATTGAATATTAAATATAACCGTGACTATATTATTCATAATTTGATGTACTGGCCACCGCTAAATTTAAGCATTTGAAGCTTGATTATCATTCAGAAAACTTACAATAAACAATAAAGAACTATTTTTTTCTCTTGTTCGTTGTGACTACCGGTAGGTGACTTTCAAAGAGCACAAATTGTGTCTGATGACTTCTCATCTGGAGAGCTGTAAGGGCCATGCAGAGGAGCGGATGAAGCAACTTCGCCTGGTGATGCAGAAGACAACTGATGCCCCTGATGATGTGACAGTGGTGTTTGGAGGAGACACTAACCTCAGGGATACAGAGGTCTGTCATTTAGGTGGTTGATACTTTTTCTTTCATTGGTTGCACTGCATTATCATAACCAACAAAATTGTTAAGGCTACTGGATTAAGCAAAACACATGAAAACGAATAGTCATATAATTTGGATCCTAACTGCTGTTATACTCTTAAACCTCAGAAAGCATCCTGAAATGAATGGGATTCTCTTCTGAGATTTAGCAGTTAGATAATGAATCTGTCTCATCTCAAAATAGGCCTTTAGTAGACTACGCATTCAGCCTTCAACTGGACTTTTTCAGGTGGCGAAAGTCGGTCTTCCCTCAAATGTGTGCGATGTGTGGGAGCAAACAGGCAAACGGGAGCACTGCCGCTACACCTGGGATACCAAAAGTAATACCAATAAGAATGCTCCCTATATCAGCCGCTGCCGATTCGACCGTATCTACTTCCGCCCCGCTTCAAAGGAGGGAGTGCCACGCCTCCACCCTGATCACATGGCCTTGATAGGTCTCGAGAAACTGGACTGTGGGCGTTTCACGAGTGACCACTGGGGAATCTACTGCTGCTTTGTTTGGTCTTAATACCTTTGACATTTTAGCTCATATATGCCATTTTAAATTCTGTTATTTGTTGTGTCATATATTACACTATTAAAATGTATATAATTATAGACAAATTTAAATAAAGACATGGACATTTTTTATTGTTGCTATTTGAAGTTCTACTCAAGACTTTTGTGTAGTTCCAGTTACTCACCACAAGAGCGCACTATTGAGTTTTTCCTTAATCCTTGAATAGTCTGTCATTGAATAGTCACTACTTATGATTCAGTAGATTGAGCGTGGATTTATAATAACTCGTGTGAAGTATATTACATAGCACATGGTTAAGAGTTCCTTTATTGTAGCCATTGCTGCCAAAAATGCAGATGTGGGGACTTGTGAATCGTGATTTGGACTCGAGGCAGACTTGAGTCACTATTTTTAGGACTTGAGACTTGACTTGATAAAATGGACTAAGACTATGGACTAAGACTTGGGACTCGACTTGGATTTGAAGGTCACTGACTTGGGACTTGACTTGGACTTGAGGCCCGTGACTAGAGAAGACTTGATTGCTCTCCTGAAAAAATATGTTTTTAGAAAATACTTTTCTCTTTTCAGTTGGTGCATGCAGTGCTTAATTTTATAGGAACAAACTGGATCATGGTCCCTCCCACTTTTCCATTTGTCACTTTGGTGGTAACTAAAGTACTGTGATATGGCATCCTCAAATGTACAGTACTACAGTAATGTACAATACTGAGGGAACTACATAGAACATGATCCTTCCATTTCAGTGCAGATTATATAACAAAATAACTGTTATTAAGCACTTTTAAATCTGAATTCTTTCTATTCTGACTAATGATTCACACAAAGATCTTGACGAGACATTTAAATAAATTAAATAGCATTTTTACAACTCTTACATAAATACTCATATATACATACACCATGAATTTTAAGTACAATTTAATTTAAAATTCAAATAATTTGCAAAAATCTAAGCTATATTTGGTACTTTGGTTTAAAGACTTGAAATCATTTGAAGCTCAAAGCAAATGACTTGGACTTGACTTGGACTTATGAGCCAGTGACTTGAGACTCGACTTGGACATGCCTGTTTTTGACCTGGGACTTGACTCGGACTTGAGGTCAAAGACCTCACTTTGAGACTTGCAAAGCAAAGACTTGGTCCCACCTCTGCCAAAATGTGAAGCTCACTCCTTAACTTCAGTTTGTAATGAAATGGTTTTAAGATCAGGCAGTGTATGTTTCCTAAGTAAGTTAACAGAAACATTAAAACTACAAATTAATTTCCAAACTATCTGGCTATGGTGCAGCAGCAGGTCAAATGGATAAATGTTGGGTCCATACATCTCTCCATTTGAAATGCCAGACTTCATTTCACTTACCTTATTGCAAATGTTACACACGTTTTATTTCATTTTGACAGAAACCTGCACAGGCCTCTGCTTATTCTTTTACCCTTTTGCAACTCCACTGTGACTGAAATGTGCTTTTCACAGATGTATTTTGAGAGCATCCATCTATACAGCCCCCAGTGAGATCTCAGGCTTTCATTTGAGGGCTGTCAAAATCAATGTTCTTGGTTTTGTATTGATGCATCTATGGCCATTGGTCAGTTGTGGCAAATACCACCCAGCACAATTTTGTGCAATTAAATGCAATTGGTAAAGTGGTAAGAAATGTTAAAGGTACAGTACTCTGTGTAATTTCTCTGATGGGTGGTACAGCTCCTGCTTGTCTCCATACAGAAGTGCAAAGCGATGCATTGCAATGTTAGTTATAAATGTTTGCACCTGCATTTCAAGTGCCTAAAATAATACCAGTTTAAGTAAACATATTCTCCTGAATGAACCCCCAGTCAGTTTGGTCTGCACCCAGGCCTACTCCACTGAGATGTTATGGCTTTGTCTAGAATGTTTTACATTATGGATTTGAACATATCTGTCATATCTTTGTGTCAACACATCACAGTAAGAATACTTAGTTTTCAGGGAGTTTTTAGTAATCAAAACATGTGTAACTGAATAGATTCAAGACTGATCAGTTTAATGCCATAACTGTGGAATATTGCAAGCAAATGAAAAGCATCTCCATGGAAAAAACAAACAAACAAGGTATGTAATGTAATCCAGGCCAAACCAAATGCTCATCGGCACCTATTGCATAACCCATTCAAATGTAAGTTATACCCAATTACCAGTAAATTCATCTGAGTTTATGTAAGCAACACCAATACTAGGGTCTACCCCATCATGTGACCTATTCTCCCCTCTCAAGCTGCCACATTGTCACATGGTCAAATCCAAGGGCAGGCGAATACATTGGAGGCTGTGCTGCTCGCTTGCTCTGTATCAGCGACTGACCGCATTCATCACTGCTCCACTTCAGAATCAGTGTGACAAACTGCCCCAGAAGCAAGCATTATTTCTGGCCTCTCGGTGGGCCTGCATATCTGACAACTGGCATTCATTTAGCCCTTTCCAAGATAAGGGAAAACCGCCGAAACAGTTTGTACCTGTACAGGGTTACAGGTTAAGGCCAGATAATAGGTAAAGGGATGAAGGGAGGAGGAATGAATACTGTGATTTTTTTTTCTTTGGAATAAACAAAGATGGGTGGAACAAGTAAAATAGTACAACATTGTAAAAAATTGAAAATGAGTAACTAGGAGCAGAGCACAGACCTCTTTTAAAAATGTTTGATTATGTGAAAATGGGACAGAATCCCACTTCAGCCCTTTTGGATTTAAAAATTATTTGGATTAATTTGCAACCTTAGTGCATCACCTGATGTTTTCAGAACAGGAAATCTAACTAACTAAAAATGTGTTATACCAGCAATCATCACCCTGAAATATAGCACACAGTCTTGAATATGATTATTCAAGCAAAACCCCAAAATAAACTAATCAAGTCTTATTAAACAACAAAAGAACATGAGAAGGAGACAGTACAATATGGTAATTTGTATCTCATTGCACGTATGATTGCTTCTGCGTATTATAATAATAGACACATGTATTAAGAAAAAAAACTTAGATAATTTTATTTTCTCATAAATAACACTGAACAAGCATTGTACAGTGATAAATATCATTATTTATACACTGTAAAATCATCTGTATTACAAAATACAGTATAAGAGTAATGCACTTGATACAGATGGGAAGTATAGCATTTCATAGCACCAAACATGACCCATTTAGCGACTTCGCCCCAAATCCAGGTCTTTGTGTGGGTGGCTATGAAATATACTTCCCTCAGGAATCTGTTGTTGCATAACTAGATCTAAAGTTTTAAGTAGAGCCCACCTCGGAAGAACCGGAGCCTGTGCCTGCACTGTAGTCTCTATACAGTCTGTAAAGTCATGGATACGAGGCTGAAATATGGGAACTATCCATGACGTTGGCCGATCAAGTTTCATGAGTTTGATTTTTGCATTAAACATAGCGTTACTTCCAGTTCTTCCAAACAGGACAGCTTCACAAATGGCACTTTGTTCAGAGAGTGTCCATATTATAAATCTAAAGAATTCCTACTTCATAATCAAGCCTAACATTTGCCTATCGATAGTACAACATTTACTATCATAAAACCTACATACTCTTAATCTCAAATACACTCTCTCAAAGTTAATCTGAGGAGCTGTACTGCTCACACAAAAGCGTGCGTCTCATGACATCGTCTCGTTCACTTTTGTAGGCAGCACAAAAATGTGTCAGAGGCAGCGGGAGGTAAAAGGCAGACCATAACACAAAACTGGGAATGTACACACTACACCATACAGTGGAATATGGATCTTTTGTTCACTCAACTAAAATACATCTTTACAAAATGGAGTCTAAGTCACAATCTGATCTACAATGTAACTTGGCTAACAACACTCATCTCATATATTTTTGCTTTCATTCATTATTGCTTATCAAAGAAGATGGGGCCCTTTCAACCAGCAAGCAGTGAACAAAAGTATTTAGCAAAAACTGCATTACAATTTTAAGGGACTGACATGGTATGGAATGTGTTGTGATGTAAATATTACAAAAAATAAATCAACACAAGCCTCAAAAAGTGGCTTTAGTGAAACAACAGAGGGAGGTGGTGTGTAGAGAGCCCTTATAAACTCCCAGTCAGGAGCAGCGTCACAATTATACACATACAAAATAAAAACAACATTCATTCATAGTGTCCATGTAGTGTTTTGATTGTCAGCTTCAGACACATCAGTTCAACTTTAGACCAAACTTGATCCTACTGAACTAATAGTTGTAGTTTGTAGTAGTGGACTGTGCAAAAAAACTACAGCGGCCCTGGAGTAGTACATGAATCATAAAAATAAAAGTCACATGTCCTTTACCTCTGAAAATGGCACAGAAATAACTGCCTCTTATACGGCATAGCTCTAAACACTAAAATTAATGTTTGGGTTAGTAATCTCCCATTAGTTTGGTTTCAGCACTAAAATATATATGACATTCAATTTCACCATTCTTCCATGTATTGCACAGAATTTCTAAACAAAGAGTACATGTTCATCGATGTACGAATACTAAATAATAATCTTATCGCTAAGTAAACAAAGACTAGCGTAAAAAAGTAATTTTAAGGACATCTCGTCTCAGCTGAGTTCAAGCTGAGTGTGTGAATAAGTGTTTGTGGACATGTGGCGGGCGGCTGCGGAGCTGACTTGGACTTTTTTCCTGAATGCTCCAGAGTTTCCCGCTGTGAATCTGCTCCCATCTCCAGCTGCTCTTATCAAAACTGCACCAGAGCTAAAACCATCTCCAGGACAGCAGCTCCACTCAGCACAAACCACAGCAGCGCAGGGAGGAGGCTGCTGCTAACTACGGCCTTTCTCTGTGTCGAGGCAAACAGTCTACAGTTCCATGTTCAACTAAACAAAAAATAAGGGTAGCATTACTGTCTGTTCAATTCACAAGTCATATTTAGTACACACAGAGTGAAATACTTTGTTGTCATGATTATGTCGTCTTTAGGCTGGCCTTGATAATTACTGTCAATTTGTTGTTGATATATGATAGAAAGAACAACATTTTATGTACATATCTTTGCACTTGATTTTTGATTTATTATATTTTATTTTTGAACAATAGAATAATAGAGCCATAGTAACTTATATGCCCTTTCCTTATCAATATTAAACTACTAAAGTGTTTAACTGTGGTATTTTCTTTATAAAATAGTTAATTTAAAAAGGCATACTGGTATCCTGCTTTAGGCTTAATGTGTCATTGGCATAAAGTAGTTTCAATATTAACATTTATCAATATAAAGTGTACCAAAATATGACAAATTAGGGATTGTGACAGGTCTAAAAATGTGTTGAGCAGGAGGCCGATCTCTGACTGAAGAGTTGGCAGTTCAATTCCCGCTCAGTTAATGGCAAACTGGTTATAACACTGAATAAGATACTTAACTACAGAACTCCTGTTTATTCATGATGGAATAGGCTTTTTATTGACTAATACAGAAGCCACAAGAGTACATGTATGTATTATTGTACTGATAATTTCTGTTGCCATGTACAGCATTCTGTTCAATAAAACACTTGAAATAAGTCACTCTGTGTGTATTAAAATTTGAACTAAGACAGTAGCTAGTAAAAACAACTGTGTAAAATGTAAATGCCCTTATTAAATGGTAAGATCGGAGAAAACAGACCAATGGCAGGAAAGGTGCATAGGTTAGCATATCTTTGACACTATAATTACAGCTGTGGTTTGTAAGCTCCAGATTGCACATTCAGAGTTAAATAAAGCCAGAAGTCAAAGCCGACCTCTTTTTAAATGACTCATGTGTTTTTGACATCTCCTGTAACAGTAAAGTGTGCAATACATACCTAGCAAATTTTAAATAATCCAAAACACTGCAAGTAGCCATAAGCAAATCTGTGGACCTCAAACAGGCTAAAGTGGCAGAAGTGGTGGACAGAATTCGCTGCTGACAACTGAGTAAAGCTATCCCATATTCTCATAGCGGAGGACAGCTGGTTTGGAGTAGTCACTGATACTGGAGTCTTTTTCACACCACATTGATGCAGTTCCCTGTCCCGCCAGCGTGAGGCCTTTTGCTGCAGTAGCTGAAGCCGCTGTGATTGGACGAGGAGCCGTTCATGTGGGACGATTTGAGTTCCATCTGACAGGCGGCGATGGCGGCATTCAGCTCCACCTGGGCCCGGTGCACAACGTAGAACATCAGGCCGATACTTATGATGATCTTAAACACAAACAAAGAGGGACTAAGTCAGTTATTCACTGTATAGGCACTTATGTTTAGGAGTCCATATGGTATCCCAGTTATGTTATATCCCCATTAGGACTGCACAATATATTACAATCAAACCAGAATTGCAATTTCAGATGGAATGGTCAAATTAGATAATACTGTCCACTGCAAAGAACAAAATATCCTGTCTTTTTATGGAAAAATCTTGCTGTACCTGTAGTTTAGCCCTTCTGAAATTTTACTGTTTTGTGTTAAATGGCATTGGTGACAGCATGGTGGCTGAGTGGGTAGGTTTCCCCCATCAACCCAAAACACATGGACAATAGGCCACATCCTGCATCTAAAGCAGTCTTGACCAAGCCTAGCAACAAGATCACGGAGGTGAGTCCCTGAGCTCTGCACTGTGACGCTCACTGCTCCTGAAGAGACACCCCAGTGGTATTGGAGGATGGGTGAGATGCAGAGGACAAATTTCCTTAAGGGGACAAGTGTACCTTACATAATGACAAGTCCATTCACATCTCAGGCAAAAAAATAAATAAAAGATGCAGCCGCAGAATATTAGTTGGTCAAATTATCTGTATTGCAGTTTGTAGGTTTAGTTTTTTAAGATGATGGGAACACCAGGAAGAGCAAATAATGAAAGAAAGTGAAGAACATTATTTTGATGTAATCTTCACTGATTTAATTAAAACAGCACAGTGCACCTTTGTTTCAGTCCTTCAGTCCTGTATCAAATGTGTGGAGCTGTGCTGAGCAATGGGGTTTTACCAAGAACTGTAATGTTACTCTGTGAGACATATCTAGTTACTGAGAAGTAAGAACATTTTGTGCAATAGGAAAAGGTAATAATGAAATAAAACTGCTTCTACATTATAATCCATTTAATATATATTTAATTTTAAAGTTATGTTTGGTGAAGTGTTAATCTTAAACCAAACTTTAATTGTTACCACTTAACTTCTACAGTTAACATTTAATAAATACAGAAGGTATTCCTCCTCACGTGATGCCTAATGACACTGTGTCCTTGTGTCCTTCTGACAGAACTTAGACCATTTTACAGCAAAAATCTTATTACCCACCATTAAAAAAAAAAAATAAAAAATTAATTAATTAATTAAAAATAAGTTTGTTTTATTTACTATATTCTTCTTTGTTTAAAGGTGGCCTTTGGTGAAGGATCTGCTGCCTACTTCTTTCCATGGAGATTATTGGAGGTTATTGCTTTGCCTGGAATGTTCCATAGTATGACATTAAACATATTCATCTAGCATTTATTCATTACGAGTGTTTATATTGCTCAAAAATACAATAATTCCTTCTATGAACAGGGGCGACTCTCCATAGATCTGACCTGTAATGTAGCCTAGTGCTGTAATCTGCTTGTTGGAATGATGATATAGGATTAATCTATAGTGTGGAACATTCTAGACAAAGCAATAACATTTCCATGGAGCTAAGCAGGTGGTGGACCCCCCACTAGAAATGTTACGCAGTGCATCTTTAACCTTCATCCTCTATACATGGCTATAGTTGTCACCTAAATAAGTAGCTTCTGTTTATGAGCAGTAATGGTCCCAATGGTCTTCCCACCTGCAGAGTGAAAAACCTGTGTGTGATTGAGGCCAGTTGTCAAAGTGAACAAGGGCAGTGAGCATTCAAACACCACTAATCTTCAGCTGACCCTCGAACCGTAAAACCCCTAAAGCTGTCCAATATTTCAGGCCCTTGATGTTCTCGCACTTGACAGGATTAAATAAAGCAGAACAGGTGTTAGAGAGGAGGCTTACAGTCACCCAAGGGTGGGCTAGGCAGCGCTGTGGGCAGAACCACATATGCACCAACATAAGAGTATAATGCTATAAGAGGTGCTTACATAACAGTCTTCATATACACAGGGGTGCAAGAAGTACTCAATTGGGTTATTTAAGTAATGTACAGATAGAAATATTCAGGTAAAAGTAAAAGTATCACATGAAAAAAATCTACTTAAGTAAAAGTATTAAAGTACTCGTTTAAAAATGTACTACATTTTTGCTGTGGTTCTGCCATTTCAGCAGCTCTCAAACTAAAACTAAAAAATACTGAATACATTACAGTCCTGTTCAAAAATGTAGTGAAGTAGAAAGTACAGATACCTGCTCTCAAATGTAGTGAAGTAAAAATAAAAAGTATCCACTTTAAAATGTACTTAAAGGTGCATTGTGTAACTTTTCTGGTGGAGATCCACTTGCTTGTTTCTATGGATGTGTCATTCCTCTGCCTGGAATGTTCCACAGTATGACATCATTCAATACATTTACAGTACATTACATTATTCAATTACAGGTGGTTTTATAGCGTAAAAATACTTACAAATACAGGCCTGACTGACCTGCAACTTGGTCTGTTTTGGTCTCCATGAAGATAAAAAGGTTTAATGCCATACTGTGAAACATTCTAGACAAAGCAACAACATCTCCATGAAGAAGAGCCTTCGATGGACACAATGCACCTTTAAGTAAAATACAAATACCAAAAATTCATACATAAGTACAGTACAGTACTACTTTTACTTTGTTTCATTCTATAATGGCATATACAGTATACTTGCCCCTGAGCTCTGACAGGTCAGCCATAACAAAGTCTATGATGATCACACACAGAAGCAGACTATATTTCAGAAGTATGTGCCTGCAAACAGTGTCTTAAATGCATGACTGCTCATGTGATATGTTAAGCCCAACAATCAGGTGTGTCTAGCTACAATATACATGACGTGGCCCTGTGGCTGGTTCACCTGAGGGCTCTGTGATATTCTATTTTTAATTTCTCTTTCTAAAAGCAAATACAGTTGGCTTTGAAAACAATACAGGCATTTAATCACCGTGGTTTAACGCAACACAAAAGATGGTGAATTTTTACATTGGCTATAGACTCAAGCTGATCAGGAATGACTGAATGTTTTTTAAAAGTTAACTAATTATTCGATTGCCTCCTTTTTATTTAATTTATTTATTTTATATTTGTTTATTTATTGGTGAATTTTTTTCTTCATTTTATTTAATTATTGGTCTATTAATAGTTCTTAATAGTATTATCATAATCAATATTAGTATTTGTTTTTCTTTTAATATATTTTTACTTTGATATTAATTTTATGTGAAAAAAACATAAAAAAGCATAAATCCCATGACTTATGTGAAAAAAGGTCAAAAAAATTCTCTGGATGTTCTCTGTAGTGACAATAACAATAAATCTATGGTCTCCTCCACTCACCTGTAAGCTGAACACAAAGTACCCGCTGATGCTCTGTTCAGCGATGACGTCCTCCATGGTGCGGAGTGTTGTGCCCAGATACGAGTTCAGGAGCTGAGTGGGCAACAGACCCACAGAGGAGGCCACCAGGTAGTTTGGCAAGGACACGTCTGTGATCTGGAAAACAAATGCACATAAGACATAATGACCAGGGGCATCATCACAGACTTTGGCCTGTTTGACTCCAGACTCAAAGCTTATCTATTCAGACTGACTTTTAACACTCCGTAATGCAGTGACACTTTGCATATTTGTTTTATTTCATTGTTTTATTACCATGTTTTATATTGTGTTGGTTTTACTGGAAAGAACTTTCGTCACTTCAATGTTGTAAATGGCTTTATAAAGTTTGATTGCTTTATTGATTGTTCTTAAATGTGTTTTCATTGTGTAACTTTTCTGGTGGAGGGTGTGTCATCTGATTTTTTTCCATGGAGATTTTAATGCTTTTCCTGATAGGTTCCACAGTAGCTTTACACGTATCTATTTTGCATTTGTTCAATCAATTTAATTGAAAGAAAATTGTGTAAATACTGTATATACACCATGAACATATAATTTACAGAGGAACTGGATATGCCAACAGGTAAATTAAAGTCATTATTAATAATTTAAGGCTTAGTGTTGTGTAAACTGGAGTCAAAATCATTAGTCCCATCCTAATAGATGGATAACAATTTGGCTTTGATATATAAACAGAAAATATATTTGGTATTTTTAGGGAATCTTATAACTATAGTGTATTTATTTAGAAGACAGCTTGTGTGGCATCAAATCAAATTAAAGCAACCAATTTCAGGTAAAAAACAATAAGATGCAAGTAACCATTCTCAATTTCAATCTATTTTTTTTATGATACTTCCAATGATCTTCTTTACTTTTCTTTTAAATTTTGAAATTATTCATAACAAAAACAGACAAAAAAAACCCCACCTCCCACAACCCACCCTCTCCACACTCATCACATACAAAACACAAAAAACACTGGGAAAACAAACAGTCAAGTATAGTCATGTTTTGTAATAGTTGTCCCATGAGATTTTCTATCTACAAATCTACTGCAAAACCAACCACACCCTGAAAGGAGCATGATGTAAAGTTTCTGGAGTTCATCAAATGCATTCTTCGTGGAGATGTGCTTTGCTTTTTTTGCTTTGTCTAGAATAGGTCAGATCTATACAGCAGCAACCCCGCTCATAGTCAAAATTCCTGTTTTTCTCGATATTTTTGAGCTATAAAACGACATGAAACTGAATAAATACAAGGTAGGGCGGTTTATTGTCATACTGTGGACCATTCCAGGCAGAGCAATGACATATCCACAGAAACAAGCAGGTGGTGAACACCTTACCAAGAAATTACATAGTGCACGTTTAAATCAAAATTGTTCTATAAAAAGAGGCAGGAGGGTATCACTTCTAGGTGTGAAGATTTGACAACAGTGATCCAAATCCCAGTTGGTGTCGTCATCTTGCAGCTAGAATCTCTGGAGTTTAATTTCATACCTCAGTTGTATAAACCTAAATATAAACATGTGTGGTGGTGCCAGCTGTGTGGATCTGACCTTGTACTGTGGACTTTAGTTTCTCCTTTATCAGCCACAAAGACCCAAACACTGCCAGCCTCTTGACAGTTTAAATAACACACAAACCCTATTGTTGAATGAGCAACAGAGCAACCACAATATACGCATTTATGATTTATAGTATTTACCTGCTGTACGAGATAATCTGGTTTGTTGAGTTGTAGGTAGAGTAATGGGACATTTATAAGGTAGGCCTGTCACGATAATTGCAATATTGACTATTGTTAAATATACAGTATGTTGGATAGAACAATCATTTTTGGGGGTCACCATTTATCGTAGGGACTTCTTCTTTGGACGAGTTGACAATTTTTGGTTATTTTTCTGTGCTATGATGGAGATTTGAGCTATAGACGGTTGAGTTATGAACTACTATGACTCATTATAGACACAAACTAGTTACTTAAGGACTGTATACTGTTATTCATTTATTGCGGTTTAAATTATTTAACAATACTGAATAGTCTTTTCAGGATAATTCTGTTTTATGGATTGGTTTCAGTCTTATTGTTTATTGTCTATATTTACTTCAGGATTATATCATATTTCAAAATGTTTAATTAGAACGTCCTGGAACATATATGTAAAGTAAAAACTTTAAACCACTATTAGACCTGTCACAATAACAACATGTTGTTGCCATTTTGTTTTTATTAGTTTTATATCTGCAATATAGGCTCATCCTACAGAAATTGTACTATACACACTGAACTCGATGGTGGGTATGTTCACATGCACACCAAATCTATTATCTAATATCTGGAGTTTAAAGATTATATAAATGTCATGCAAACTGCAAAATCTGATGTGAATAATCAAAAAAGAAGTCAGTTAAATTAGCCATTTACATATCATTTTAAAAGTCTTATAAATCCAAAACTCTGATTATAATCTGATTTTGAGTGTGCACTGTGCATTTAACCGCAGCCACTGACACAACCTTAAAGCATTATAATTCCAGTAAACACTTGTTTGTGCCATAATCCGACAAAACTAAACCGTAATTTAGAAAATGCAGAGAGTAGTGGTGGTTGACTAACTACTTGAGCAATTTTGACACTTAAAATGATGTCATTCAAAATATATCATTTATTTTTTACATACCTACACAAATGATTAAACCCCTGTTGTAGGTAATTATAATTTATATAATTTTTATATATATTTTTATATTATATTTTTATATTTCTATATTTTATTTTTACTTGTACATATACATATATATAATTAGGCCTTATCTGACATCAGTCTCTTGCTATTTCTGCTACTTATTTAGAATTTATTATACCATTTCTCTTTGTTATTATAATATGCTGTGAGCTATTGTGTCCAAATAATTTCTAAGTCTACGTCTTCTAAATAAACCACTCCTTCGATATTGCTTTTTAATTTTTTAATTAATCTTTTAATTAATCTTGTCATAATAATAATAATACCTTATCATGTTCAGAACTGTTTGTGCACCTGAGTCAATAATAGAGATAAAACATTTATCTCCACCACGTGTCCTGGTAAAAGTACATACTGTAGCACCAGCAGACTCTATCATCCTGGACTGAAACTGCACACGTTTTATGAAGTCCCACCCAGGCCTCTCGCTTATGCAGCTGTCTCCTATAGGCGCAAGTATTTTTATATCCATGCAGAGTTCCTACTACTCGGTTTCACTATACCATCTCAAAGCAAGTCCAAACCTGATGTATGTGGAGGAGACACAAAGCATTGTGGCCTCATATGTCTTACGTCTAGTGAATTTCTGGGTTACTTTTCTCCCCAGATTTGCAGGGAGGGACCTTCAAAGTGAGGGGTGCACACATTAAATATCTTGGCAACCAGTTAAGAGCGCTATAAATCAGCTTGTGGATTTGCCAAGTGCTTGATCAGCTCATTATGATGGCACTCTGGGTGAAAGTATAGGAAAGGCCTAGCGAGACGGTTGATGTTATATAGCTGTAATAAAATATATATACGTTGGCCTATTTTTCCTGAGCTGTCCTATTGTTTTGCTAACTGCTGCAGTCCCAGAGTCGTTTTAGGTTACCCGATATACGCCGTCTACAGCAGAAAGTAGCAGGGGGCAAACGGTGAAATGTATAGCCAGTGAAAGTGCCTAGCGAGAGCAGAGTCGACATCACATAAGTCCACAGTTAAAGACTTCTCGACTACATTAAGCGCAAGTTAAAGATGGTAAATTATACACAATTGACTCTTGTGAGCCTATTTGTTTGTCTACATCTCCAAAGCTCAAAATGTAGTTTTCAGTCAACAGCTCATTTTACCTTTTGTTCAGTAGAGATGGGAAATTCCGAAATCATCTAAATGATTCTAGTGAAGGTGTATGGAGTTTAAAAACACAGTGGAGCACTTCCTGTATCCATATCACAACACAATGTGGAAGAAAGTGTTTTCAGTTTAACAGAAGAACCCAGCCTAAATTTGTGTTAAATGTGTGAATGAAACAAAACACAGCTCCGGGTTATGTTTTTGATGAGAAAACAAAATTATAACACAGATCAGAAAATAGTGTAGTATGGACCCTTTAAGGCAGTGCAGTCTGTCTCAAATGTATTGCTGTTGCAGCATCAGCAAATACAACAGCTATACGGTGAGAAACCCAGTGCATCAAGCAAATGGGTGTTTCCCCAAGACTGTAAAGGTTATAGTTTAGCGATACATGAACAAACTGAATAGCAAAATATCCAAGCTTTTAGGTCTGATGATTTGTACTATGAATTGTATAACATTTTTTAATGTATCCTTAGTGTTTCTCTGTCCTCTGTCTAAACAGTAAATGTCAATACACAGTATATTTTAAACAGACTTAGATGTATAAACAGATACAATAATAAAACTAGTGTTGATAGTCATTTGAGCAAGTATCAATCAATAATGAAAAAAACTATCAAGACAAAACTGGAATAAGATTAAAGAAACAACAATTTTTGTATTGATTTAAATTATATTGTCTAAAAGAAGTGTTTTTATTATAACTGTGGCATTGAACTCTATGTCACTATCAAATTATTCCTTAGTATCAAAATATTACTATTAATACTAAATAGTTTTGATTTTGTGTATTGATTCCTTGTAAGTATATTTACAGTACTATAAAATAATTACATAGAGCTGACATAATAATATTTTAATCCATTTACTGTATTTGTTCCGTGTGTATGCTATGAATCCAGAATTTGCATGTAAAGTGAATACGGGAATTTGTATCAAGATGAACCCTGAAATAAAACAATGCAAACAGGTCATTAGCTCATTTTGGGCTGAGCAACCTCCCCAATGAACACTTGTTACATTCACCTTTTCAGCCCCACCACAAAAGGACAACACTGGAGTTTGTGTGTGCCCAGACAAAGGCCAGTGTAACACAAGCTCTAATGGGAGTTATGAGCTTTCTTCACCAGATTAAATGACCCAGTGAGATCATATCGACTAAATAATAAATGTATAATAAAGTCATGCCTGGAGTATGAGTGTGACATTTCAATACAACTAAAGGGAAAAGGATTCAGCACAAAAATGATCTAAAGACTGAGTCGGCAGTCTGCAGAACAATACAGAGAAATGTAAGCAAAGATGACAGACTGCCTCATCCAGGAATGCTACACTAGGGATTCTCAGCAAGTCTATAACGCCAATATAGGTGGGCACACACAATTTATCAAGTAGATGTATCAGCAATGAAGATACACTATGGATTGAAATATATTTTAAAACACTGTATTGTGGTTTTATTGTCTACTTTCAGTCTGTATGGTTTCTGTTTTTTTGTTTGTTAGGTTTGTTTGTTTTTTTGTGTGAAATTGTATAGATCTCTCTTCATTTGTCTTTGAATGTACCGCATGTTGTTGTAATCAAACTACTGAGATAGCATTCCTTTTCCAGGATATTCAATACTAGGTAGAACTAAAATAAGGAAACACCGACCCAGCTTTTTCTGTTCTAATAAAGATGGCTTAAAAAATATGGTGACACCCGATATCAGCTGATACTAGTGCAGACTGAAAATATTATATATATATATATATATATATATATATGTATATATATATATATATAATATATAATATAAATGTATGTATATATTAATTATATATATATACATATATAAATATATTATATTATATATCTACACGTTTTGTAACTGTTATTTATCATTTAAAGTAACAACAGAACTTTGGCCAAGTGCAGTTCAGTTCATAGTGCTACTACACCAACATATAGACCAAAATTTATCCCAAAAATAATAAGCAAAAAGGAACTACTTGCATTAATAAATCAAAATAAAATCATGACTAATCATTATCATTAAAAGTATGTAGTTTTCATTGTTCCTGTTTGCTAAACTGGGTGTTCTTCAGTTTGTTAAGCCTTTATGTATCTGATGTTTTCAGAGACTAATCTCCCTGCAGTGACATGTACAGGCTCAGTCAACACTGACTGATGCAATTAGCCGGTCTGGTAATGTGACCCAGGCCCAGTGATTGAGGAGCAGTGACAGAAGCTGTGGTAGGAGGTGCTCACATAAACCAGAGTCACCACGACCTTGACACTTGGTTTTCTCGCTCGCAGACAGTTCGAGGCTGTGTTGAACAAGAACATTTCAGCTCTGAAGCTTTAACTGTGCACAAATGACAATTTAAGTCAGTCATGCAGTGGAAAACCACCTGCTAGGATGCAATTCTGTGTCTTACAAGTGACTAAGGCTAATAAAGCACAAACATTAACATAAATCCTGTAACTTGTCACTTAACTTTTGTGTAGTGTATTTGCTGAGGGAGAGGGTCAAACCTTGAGTCAGTTTGCTCTGGACCTACCCATCTGTTAAGTAAATCTCCATTTCTCTGAGCTTTGTTGACTGTGAGGCATTGGCCAGGCTTTTCAAATAACTACATCACTGCACAAAGGAGAGCAGCAAACAGCAAGGTTTGCATTACAGACTGATGTGACAAGTTCACAATGCTACAAAAGTTATTATTAGACAAGAGTCAAAAGCTTTAGAAGGTGAGTAGAAAAGTACCATCTAGTTTGACTGTGACTCATTTATAAACTGATGAAGAACTATTTGATACTATTATAGCCAATTAAATCCCTTATTTTCATTACTTTTGTCAATAGCTAAAATTGGTCAGATCTCAAGTTATTTTGAAAAGTGGACATGTGACTCAAGCCACACCACAAAAGTCAAAAGAAAAGAGTTTGGTTTTGGAGCATGTAATTACTTATGAAAGATTCTTGCGTCATTTTCCTCTTTCTGCCTCAGCCTGGTGCATCAACTCCCGCTGCTCTCAGCTATAAATGTCTTTCAAACTTGCACTTTGCCTCAAATGTTTTTGGTACTGCCGACTTTTGTCTGCTACAGTATTTGGAGACTTAAAGATAGAAAAAGAAAGTACAGAAGCCTATTTTGTTGTGAACACAAAGGCACATGTGTAATGGTTGTGACCATACATTTTCAGCGTGTGACTGTGACTGTGACTGATGAAGGCTTTAGAGCCCTGAGAGAGTGTACGCTGCTGCTAAATGAGATGTTGTTTGAGCAGGCCTACAGCCAAACTGAATAAAGTCAACTTTGTCCTAAGTCCGTCTTCACTCCGACATTTTCATACCCATGAAGCTTTGCATAAGCCTTCGTGGAAAGTTCAACTGCCCTCTTTGTATTACACAGAAGTTTAGTATCTGCCGTACTGTCTAGCTCTAATCCTAATTTGTGTAGACTCAAATACTTAGCAATCATTTAACTACTAAAACACAGATTTCCAGGAACAGGGTGATGTCTTGGATTAGGAAAATAATCTCAAATCTATTTTGCCTTGGGACCTTAATATTGACACAACTATATCTCAGGCCATTCTGTATTGTATGAAGCAACAAGAGACACTGATGAGGAGCCTAATACAGAATGACTAGCACTGTATTGGAGGGGTCTAATATTTCTTGTCAATATTTGATGAAACTGGCAATGCACATAAAGTCTCATCTTCTCTAAAGTGTAAAAGAGTTTCGTGGAATGAGTCGAGTAAGAGATGCAATCAGAGATAATAAATTATTCATGCATGTATGAAGGTCAAGTGTTTAGGTTAAGTGTAGAAGCGCAGCTAAAGCACAGTGTCGCCTCCCATTAAATCTCAATATTGTAATCACATTACCTGATAGGCTGCACATCACTATTGGGCTTTTCACTTGTGCACTTGTGTACAGGAAGGTTGAGGTTAAATTTTGATTCAATTCAAATAATTACAAGCTCTGTTATCAACAAATGTGCATAAACATGAATCCACAGAAAAAAAAACATAACTGCATCCAAACATATAATGAGCCGAACATTATCCTGATTAGATACTCACCGAGAAAACTGCATTTTGGAGCCCAAATGGGATGGGAGTGAGTCTTGCTAAGGCCACAACTTTTAATCCACTGCCACCTTCCACCACTCGAATGACCGCACTGAGCTGTTCACTGTTGCCCACTTTGTTCAGGACCCAGTCCGAGAGAAGCCGTTTACAAACCAAGTGTGCCACAAAAGTCCCTATCAACACACCCACCATCACTAGCCCCATGCCCAGCACAAAGCCGTAGAGGTACCCAGCAGCCACATTAAGGACAATGTAGCCCCATCCACAAGGAAATGACACTATGATGAGGCCCACTATGAATAACATGGCTCCTACAAGACTGTCTAGGCTCTCTACCCAGAGCAGCAGGTCCTTGAGGTACTGCCTCACCAAGGCGACCGAGGAGAAGCACACTAGAGTCAGGATACAGGCCAGAAGGGCACTCTTAAAGCAACAAGTGGTGATGCAGCACGGGTGTCTGAACTCCGCTGGGGCAGGGGTCCCTCCACTGTCACCAAGGACATCAGAGGCTCCATCAGATTTGCCCAAACCACTGCTCCTCTCGTCAAAGGCGCTGCAGATGAGGATGTCTATCTTGTCACACTCCTCAGTGGCGCTTCTCTGCAGCCAGCGGTTGAACTGGATCTGTGCTTTGCCTGCGGCATGTTTCAGGAGCTTGGAGAACAGCTGGACAGCTGTGGCCCCTGACATGGACATGCTGGCCCCTCGGGTCTGCCGCAGGCTGGCCTAACCTTTCATCCACAGAAGCGCCTCTGTCTACAGCGGTGTCCAGGGAGTTGTCTCGTTTTACAACATGCACAAGTCCATGTCTTTCAATATGCAAATGATGAGTCTATCTTTGAGATTGCATTGCTCATCAGGTCCCAGAGCAACCAAGGTTAGGCAGCACTTCGTGATAGTCTACTTATCTTGTGCCTGCCATAGTATCTATCTTGGATAAACCCGTTGAGTTACACAATAGTTCATGAGTTTACAGCCTACAAATGTGTTCTTTCTACCTGACAAACACGCCATTTCCAATGAAGTCATGTCGAAGAAGAGCTGAGCCAGATGGTCAGGTGCTCTCCCAAAAATACTTAAAAGCAAATTAATGCGAAAATGTCAACTTCTTCGACTGATCCATTATCCCTCGCCATCCTTTTCAAGTCAATCCTTTAGCACAAATCGCAGCACTGTGGACTGCTCACTCCCGTCGGAAGCTAACTAGCCCGCTGCGTGGATAAAGTCCACGGGTGCATTTCTCAGACTACCCCGAACAACACGGCCCTCCGCTCGGCTTCCTCCGCAGGCAGAGGCGGGACGACTGTGTGTCACCAGAAGAAACGCGCTGTCAGCTCCGTATCTCTGCACCCGCGGCTGTGGTTTAGTATTTGCTCCCAGTGTGCACGGTGCTGTTGTTGTCGCTGTTAAACCGATTCATTCCGACCACTGTTTGTGTCCCAGAATGCCAAGTAACCTCAGAACACGTGACAGGCTCCGGACCATCCCAGCAAATCAGAGCCCGGGACCTGTTGTCGCGATATTTGGGACATTTCTGATAAATAACATATTGCATAATATTATAAATGTAATTGTTTTAATGTAAATTGATCTGCCAAATTATAGCCTGTTTACGACTAAACGTTATATTTGGATTATTGAGTTTTAGTTCTTCCATTTCAACAGATCTGTCATGGACAAATTCTTAAAGCAGCTAGTCTTTTAAATAGCCCATATTTGTACACGGTTCAATTTCTGTTCAATTCACAAGTACCACTAAAAACCTGTAGGGCTACGTTATAGTTGGACCTAAAATGTAATTTATGCAGTTTCAGGTATTTCCACCAGATGGCGACGTATTACAATCATGATCACATGCAACTATATGCAACAAGTCTTCAGGCACTTTAATAATAATAATTTCATACAAAGGTTTAAAATATTTGGGGGACAAGTGGGTTGATATTTAGTGTATGCTGGCTTTCAGATATATATATATATATTATTATAAAAGGGAAAAATTACAAGTGCAACCAGACAAAGCAGGTGCAACTTTGTATTTACACGTCAAATGTAGAAAAATCGCTTCCATCCTGATCATTGTAGTTCACATGATGAAGAAGTAACAAACTGCATCTGTATGTTGTGTCATTTTAAAGCTGTTTTTTTCATCGTACCAACCGCACGACGTTTATTACGCTAGTTTGACGCTCCTCGCTCGCTCCGTGGTGCAGATCAAAATAAAGGCGAGAGGCGGACACATTCCTGCACACTTCAGTCTGAATTCACTGCGAGAAGAAGATGGACTGTGGCGACGAGGTGCAGAGCGTGCCCGAGGAGCCCGCCTCTCAGATGGAGCTCAAGAAGGGAATGTCCATATTTATTGATGTAAGTAAGGCTTACAAAAATACACAAATTATTAGACATTCATTAAAATTAAATTAGTATTTCAACACTGTCAAAAAAAATGTCCCAGCCTATATACTTGCTACTGTTCAAATGCATGTTTATATTTGTTTTCTATGTGAATTACTTCATTTTACACGTGTTATTTGCTATTGTATTGCATTGAGCCTATTCTAATTAATTCTCTGGGCAAACCTGACCTTTCAGCTTGGTGCATGTGTGAAAGCATAACAACCAGTGGTTCTTCATTTATGTCAGCGCCTTAAATTGGCTTATCACTTTGACAAAAGACGCAATTAAACTCTCATTTAGTGGCCTCCTTTCAAAAACAAAGATTAGTCATATTGCAATTCTGCTTTATCCAGATACTTACTTAACAATATCTCAAAGATAAATTAGATCTCAAATCATCTATCATGTATCCAATATGAAGAGGTTTTAAATATTTAAAATTATATTACCAGCTAATGATTATGATCCTATAATGTGCAGTAGTTAGTTATGCCACTGCTCAAGTCCTGTGTCTGTGCTTTCTGCAGTGCCTTTTTTGTTTGTTAAAGAAAGCCTGATTTATTCATGCTGTGATCTTGAGCAGGTGGCTCTGAGATTTCAGCATCACTCTTATTTGAATGAATTTTTTTGGTCTATTCTGTATGCTCGGAATCTGCAGCAAGGAAAACACATATATAGGCTGAATTTTGTGGTGACTCACTTGAATAATAATAATTATACTTTGGACTTTGGACCTTCACAGCTATTGGTACAATAGATTTATATTTTCTATTTTGGTATATGTCCCACCCCCAAACTTTTATAAGCAAAAGGAGGGGATTTTTATGTTTAACCTATGCACAAAAAAATTGAGACAGTTTTAACAGTTTTAAAGAAAGAAAGATAAATATTGTTGCATTAAAGGTGAACCATGTAGCCTCCTTTTTCTGGTGGAGGCTGGCCATCGGTTTGTCTCTAAGGAGATGTTGTGATACTTGAAATGTTTCATCATATGGCATTAAAATGATCTGTCCTGCATTTATTGAATTACAACTGTCATTAATGCGCACATTATCTTGAAGAGCATGCATTACTGCGTGGATGGTTTTCCACAGATCTGATCTGTAACTTGGCCAGATGGTGTTATTTGCTTGTCTTAATTGAGCCTGAGCTAGATATATTTTGCGAAACATTCCAAGCAAAACAGTAACATCTCAGAGATAAGCAGGTGGCAGACTGGCACCCAAAAAGTTTCTTCTCCATGGTAACTAAAAGCTTTGTATCGTAAGGATTGTTTCATTTATTTAAACAGGTTTGAGGCCAGTTGTCTTAACATTTATTGGTTAGTTACTTACAGTATACTTGTCTGCAGTCTGTCAGTCAAACATAAATATTTAATAATAGACTTTCTAGTAAAATCATGCACTTATTACATTACATAAATTCTGCCTCAGCACTTTATACAGGATATTATACATTCAATATTAATTTTCTGATTTTGCTGGGCTGGTCTAAAACTGGTGATGCCTCTTTTATGTGCTTTTGGCCTGGGACCAAAGTATTAACTATTAAATGAAACCTTGACACATAAAGAGATGCTTTGATGATGCGACACTGCGTTTCTGACCATGTTTGTCTTTGCTTTGTCTTTGCAGATTTTACGGAGAGCTGACAAAAATGGTAACGATCCACAGAATTGCACAATATTGGAATTTTGGTCTTCCGTTATTAAATATGATGAATCTTACATTTTGATTTATGAAGAGATTGCTTTAGAGTTAATTGTCAAAACTAAAATAAATCATATCAGTTCCAGCAATAACTCAAATTTATAAAGTTAACTAACAAAACTAAACAAACTAACAAAAACTCTACTTCTTAAAGGGCCCATATTATGCTATTTTCTGATCTGTTATAAAATTGTTCTCATCTAAAACATGCCTGGAGTTTTGTTTTATTCACATATGTTTAACACATAAACCCTGCATATTTAGGCCGAGTTCTTCTCTCAAACCAAAAACATCTGTCTGTCCACCTTGTGATGTCATAGTGTAATAGAGGAAGTGCTCCACTGTTCATTTTTAACTTCATACATCTTCACTAGAATCATTTTCAGTCCTGGAATTGCTGAACTAAAGATAAAAGGTTGCTGTGAACTTGAAAACTACCCCTTCATGACATCATAAGGTGGAAGAGAGCATTTTGAACTTTAGAGATGTAGACACACTAATAATAAAGAATTACTCAAACACGCATAAATGAAACAAAACTCCAGGTATGTTTTTGAGGAGGAAACATCATTATAACATGGTTTAAAGCTCAACTGGGTAAACCAGTAGGCCTATAAACCCATAAAACAGGACTGAACTCGTAATAAGTTCATATTTGCATATTTTTTACAGTGCATGTTTGGCTTCCTTTGACAGAGGAATTGCTTTTACCAGTTGTGCTACCTCACCAATATGTCTTCCGGTCCTACTCCCCTCCCATCTCCTTGTCTCCTCATTAGTCTTTGAGTTCATCACAGATCTAGTTCCTCACTTTATGAATTCAGATCTCGAAGCTTTTGGCTGATGCCCTCGTCAGTTTCCATGGCAACAGGACACTGACCAGGCCCGAAAGGGTTCAGATACAGAGCACTAATGAACAAAACCTCAAGGATTTATGCACTGCTCAACACTTAAGATCAGGAAACTAACCAGCGACTTTTTCTAAATCCTAAATGTGTTAAATCCACTATTCACACCCTTTCACTTCATACTGTGTCAACTGTGGAGTTTTGTGAAGGCATGCCAGGACTAAGAATGAGTTAATTTATTACAACTGAAAAGAGATTTTATAAATGCAGTGACAATGCTATTGGTATTTGAATAATTTGGCTCAAATCTTGAAGTTCAGGAAAACATCTTATAACTTAAAATGATCTACATTAAATACATTTTGCAGCATTGCAGTGTCAAATACCAGTGTATTTTGTAGATGATTGTGACAAGCAATGGTTCTGTGGTGATAGCTGTAAAAATATGGATTATTAAACAACCCCCAGTATAAATAAGGGAAACATTCTTTACACTGTATGCAGCGCTTTGTTGACAAGAAGGGATTTCTGTTGAATTATGTGGCATACAAGATCAAAGTGTAGCGCAGAACTCCTTTGCCTGTCCCACATATTTAATGTTTTTTTCTGATCTCGTCAAAATAGGCGTCATGTGATTTTGGTATATGGTTATTTACATAATATTGGATTATTTTTAAGGGCCCATATTAAGAAGCTATTATTTGATCTATGTTATAATGTTACTTGTTTACTCATCAAAAACAGACCTGGAGTTGTGTTTTATTTCATTCACAGACTAACAATAATTGATTATTCAAACATTTTGTGTAATATAGGACCTTTAAGTAATAATGTTGTCTTTCTTTACTATCTGTGTACATCACCATGCTCATATGTAAAGAATCTTACCTCCTGTATCTCCTGTTTGTGGCTACACTGAGCTGCACTAACATCACATTGGTGCATTTGTGTTATGTCCCCAGATGATGGAAAGCTCTCTTTTGATGAGTTCAAAGCCTATTTCTCTGATGGGGTCCTGACTGCAGAAGAGCTGAAGGAGCTCTTCCACACCATCGACACTCACAACACAGAGTAAGTCAAGCAACAAATACCTGTTTTCATCATAGCAAGCAGACGTTTGGGGGATTCTGTGTTCAGTTCCAAGCCTGTATAAGGTTTAGGAAGTCAAGGCTTATTTATGTAAACTTGTGATGTATAAATAAGCTAAGGATTGATGATATCTTCACAAACACTTTAGTTGGTGGCTCATGTCATTCATTTCATTTAAAGGTACAATATGTAACTTTCCTAGCAGAGGTTCCACTGCCTGCTTTCCTCTATGAAGATTGTGAAATTTAATGCCATACTGTGGATGATTCCAGGCAAAATGTCTGTGTAATTACTCAGTCATCCAGGTATTGCTGGAGGGTATAAAGCAGTGTCACACCAGCAATCTGACCAGAACTGAAGAAGACACTTCTATAAACTGCAAAAATTCTTTGACAGGATTA